CTTCCTACTGTCCTTTTATACATGTCAAACTCCTTTGTATATTCTTAGTTACAGAATTTCTTGTACATCTTAACCGTTCTAGCCTGATAGGTCACATGAGCTCAGGAAGATTTTTCACCTTGGTTCTTTGTGGACGTAAATCTTTATTAGACTGTGGCACAGAAGAGTTAAAAATAGGCCTATGCATTGCCATCTTATGGTAATGATGGAAAAAATGTTTTGTGTCAACAAAGGGAAAAATGAGAGGAGGTGTCATTGTAGATGACTCCTTTGACTTTAGGAAATGAGTCTGAGAAAGTGCTCAAAAATATCAGCTGTAATATAGAGCCTCTAAGAGGGGCTGAGTTTTCAGCCTGTGCTTTCAGCCTTTTTCAAGTGATCTTCAAGAGAAATTACAGTAAGAAAAAAAGTCCCTTAAAAAAATCTGAAAGGACTTGATAGTCCATCACTGCCGGATATTTTGTCTGTAGATACTGAATTCCTGATGCAGAAAATACAGCCCTTTTGAAAACACAGGCAGGACATAAGCCTAACCTTTCATAGGATATAGTGTGTGCTGATCTTTGTGATCTCACCCATATTGATCATATCAGATTGGAAAATAACCAGACCGGAATATGCTATTATTTTATAGAATACTATGTCAGTGTTTCTGGTATGTTCAAGAGCAGATAACAAAAATCTTGCCAGCTTTGTATCAAAGAAGAAAAATTGGAGGGGGGGGAAAGGAAGCATAAGGAAACAGTATAGAGGTAATAAACAGTATAAGTGAATGAAGATTAGTATTTGTTTCTGAAAGGCTTTTGATATTTAAAATTGTTCCTGTTCAAATGTGTAGCAATCTTAAATATCAAAGTTATATGTGAAAGGGAGAGAGCAGTGACCTGTGCAACTCTTAGCATTTCTGACTGCAAGACATTACCTGTTGCAGATTTTCATGAAACTGTGAATGCTGGAAGCTCAGTGTTAAGACTCCGCTTCCCAGGTCTCCTGGCTTGCCCAAGAGTAGGATTCCCTTCAGTCTGCCACATGCACTGCCTAAGAGTTAGGAAGCAAGTGGGAACTAGTCCAGTTTGCAGGAGATGTACTGTTGGAAAACTATGGTAAATGTCAGTTTTGGTTTTGATGAATATGGGCGAATGTTCTATCATTTTTTTTCTCAAAAAAAATGTGTAATACTTTTCTAGAATCCTGTTTTATTATGGTTTTCCTTGTAACCATATAACTTTAATTGTAAAAGCTGTAATAGAGGCTTTATTTCTGTATTTGTGACCTGCAAATTTGCACTGACCAAAACAGGCACACAGGCAGATTTTGAACTCATCTTGAACAACTGAATCTGTGTCAGTAATTTAAAGAAAAGCAGGGTCTTGCCTAGAAAACTACAATTCTATTTGAAAGGTATCTGTATACTGAAGTTAAAACTGGATTCTAAAAGATGGAATAAGTCAAGTCTTAAAACTATATAGGACCATGGCAGTATCTCTATAAACCTAATGAAGAGAAATGATGTATTCACACAGAAGAAAATTCTGTCCCAAATGAATCTAACAATCTGTGTTTTCTTTTACAATGTTTGCCTCTGACAGTCTGGCAAATCTATTGCAAGCCACTGAATTTATACATCAGACACATTAGATTTTAGTACTGGGACAGTTTGCTCTGATAATTTTATACAAAATTTGTTGGCAAAGTTTGAATGGTAAATAATTGAAAAGCTGGGATTTTTTGTTGTTGTTCATGGGGGTTTTTGTTTGGGTTTTGTTTGTTCGTTTGTTTTTTTTTTTTGTTTGTTTGTTTTTTTTTTTACATGTATCTTTAGATAAAACTGTATCATTTTCGTTCATCTAGCATCCAGGCTTATCTAAGACTGCTACATAAATCCCTTTTTGACAACCCCTTTATTTTAATGGTTAGGAGTGGCTGCCTCAGTGACTTCGTGGAAGTATTTCATTTAGTATAATGGAACAGCACCCTGGAATGGTGGGTGCAAGTATTCCGTTTTTAGGAAAGGAAGCTTTTAAAACTCATCCTCTTTTTTTAACAGTAGGCCAATGAAGAACAATTCAGTTTTTCTCATCCATTACTGGTTACAGCAAGTATCTGACAAATTACAGCTGGTTACAATTTTTGGGAGAAGCTGAAGGAAACTTCAGAGTGGTTTCGCTTAAGTGACATGAATGTATTTTTCAAAAGGCTCTATCCTGCAAGGAAATTAATGGTTTTAATTATCACTGACCACGGCAGTGATTGATGAGTTCACACCTAAGGTACCGCAATTATTCTCAACAACATACTATTTCTGAATAAGGTAGTGTACTATGTGTTTTTATCATGTTTTGTGTATTAGAGATGCTACTTTCTAAATGAGATTATTACAAGATAAACTTTCAGAAAACCGCATTGTGACAACCTCATGCTTTGCCCTTTGCATCCTCTTTCATCTTCCCGGCATCTCTGTAATCTCGCAAACATGTTTCTTGCATACATAACTTACGGTTAATTGCACATGTTTTCTACCACCGTAAGTAGATTTTTAACACTACCGCTTGTCTGATTAAGTTTACGTGGTGCGTTGGTAGGGCCGGGCACCCCGGAGAGACGGGAACGCGGCACGCCGGCCGGGCCGCTCCGGGGCCCCGCGCCGGAAGGCCGGTGGCGCAGGGGGCGGGAGGGGCGGGAAAGAAGCGTGCTCTTCCTGCCCGTAGTGTTTTCATTGGCTAGCGTCTGTGAAGTCCCTGGCGGGGATTGGTGGCTGCCGTTGTCGGGTCAGGGGCGCGGGTTCACGGCCGGGGAGCGGCGTGGCGGTAGTGCTCACTGGGCTTTTGGGGCCGCGGGAGGTTTGCTGCCGTCATGTCGTGGAGGTCGCCCAAGTGAGACGGGGGTGGCGGCGGAGGGCGCCGTGCCGTGCGCGGCACGCGCCAGTGCTGATCCGCGTCGCGGCGGGGCCCGCCTGCGCTCGGCCGCTTCGCGGCGTGTCCTGCGAGCGGCGGCCGGGGCAGGGGGCGCCGCGGGCGGCGGGGCGGTGGCGGGCGGCGAGCCGAGCCGAGGTGGCTGGTGTGGGAGCTCGGAGCCTCTGTCGCCCCGTTCTTGTCCTTGCGGGTGCTAAGGCAGATCACGTGGCTACTGCGTTCTGGCAGGGCTCCTGGAAAGGCCTTGCGCAGGGCAGTGGCAAAATGGCTTCTGGTTAACCCCTCGCTGGCTCTACTGCAGTTAGCTTAAAGGAAAGCCTCTTAAACGGCTTTTTTTTTTTTTTTTTTTTTTTTTTTTCCTCCCCTGTCAGAGAAAATGGAATGCCTGTTACACAATAACTTTAGATATCAATTGCAAAAGAACGCAAAGTTTACTATGCCAAGTTCTGAATAGCTAGCATATGCAAACTCGGTATTTTAATTTGCAGTACTTAATCCAGCAACACAGTAGGGTAGTTTTGGGATATGCTGAAGGTCATGGTTATTAATGTATCAGTTGAGATTGATAGTGAGATTTTAGTGTTACATATTTCTCGATAAAAACAATTGTTAGTATGTCGATCTTTACTCAGACATGCATTAAATGCATGGCCAGAGATGTTTCCATCTCCTAAGTGTGCAATAACGTGAGTTACTAGGTGTACGTCTTCACCAAAAGGGGAGCCTGGCTGACAGGATTGTATTAGAGATACATAGTGTAGTTACCCGGGTTAGGTTGGAGTATCTGATTATCTCTGAAGTTTATAATAAATTATTAATAACAGATGTGAGGGTAAGCTTAAAAAATATGTAGAGAACAGTTGTTTTATCATTTCAACTTTTGTGGATGTAGGCATGAAGTAACACAGTTAATCACAGGTTTTTTAAAACCTTAGATGAAAAAAAACTGATGTTAAGAATATACATGGAAATTTTTCTGTATTGATACCTGCAAACTAATATTATTAGAAAATAGATATTTGTGGAATAGAATTATTAAGATCAATTTAAGATGTTTTAACTATTTAACGATTGTGCTACAGAACAAATACTGATCTTTTGAGGAATAGTTAGAATAACTGTAGGATAAGGAACTCAAATAATCTTACTGGGGATGGTTTGGCCTTGTAGTGGCAGATGCAAAGAAACATAAAGAAGCTGCAAATTAGCAACAAAACTAGACCAGGCCAGCCTTGAAGGACAAGATATATGTGACCACAGGGCTGAGTTTGCGTAGAAGTGAGGGTCAACTGTTGGACACAATGAAGAAGACTATGAGCCTTCATCTGAAGACCCCTGACGACCACCCGAAGGCTCCAACAGACATGCGCAAGAGACATTAACATATGCTAAATGCTAAACTCCAAATGAATTAACAGAATATGTTACCGGAAAATTGTAATTAATTCACTCTCTAAGACTCAATTTTGGAGTTGTAGAAAGCAGTCATTCTTTATTACAGCACCAGACACACAGGGGAGAGCTTTTCCTCATGTGTGTATGAAAATGAAATCAACAAGCATTTATACTACCTTAATTGTACATATTCATTGCATTTTTATCATATTCATAGCTTTTCCGGGAACTCATTTAGCATATGTTAATGTCTGCAGCACAATTGTTAAATGGTTAAAACATCTTAAATTGATCTTAATGATTCTATTCCACAAATACCTATTTTCTAATAATCTTAGTGTGCAGGTATCAGTATCAGGTATAATTAGAGATGTAACTAAATCTGTAGAATTCTTAAAGTTCTTGACAAAGTTAATCCTGTGAGAGAAAGTAGGATGGTATGCACAAATACTGCAGTTCAGTGAGTTGTCAGCTCTTCCTTGTAATTGTCTTAAACTAATTTGAGATATAAAAATGACCGAGTTTTCTCCTAATACAAAACTTTTTTTGAATGTTTCCTGGTAAATAGTATCTGAATTAAATTGTAAAATGGGTTCATAGGTAGCCTTATATAATGAGCTAGAATAGATTACAAGTAAATAATAATTTGATTATTATTGTCATTGTGAAATATTTCACACTGTCTTTCTGCAGAGATTCTGCAAGAGGATGCTCTCAATATAACATCTGCAGAGGAGAGAGAAACTGTACCCGTTTTTCCTCTTCTGACTTTTACTCTGGTATTGGGTTGGAAGACTTCCTATCTGTAGGTGACACTTCTGGAACAGAGGAAGATACAGACTCGGCTATATTATATGGAACTTTGCAAGGAAGAGTTGTTGGATTACGATACTACACAGGGATTGTAAGTGCATGGTATATTATAAGCAGGAAAAAAAGTTTTTGTCAGTGTCAGAAAAAATATGTTAATTATATTTCAAAAATCCCTAGAACTTTTAACCAAGTATAATTTTAATAGATTATTTTCCCCCTAACTTGCTGTATTCCACATTCTTCATATGAAGTACTTAATTTAAAATTTTAGTTCAAAATTTAATTAAGATAGCAAGCTCTCAAATCTGGTTTAGTTATTTGGTAACTCTACTCACCCACATAAGGCAAATGAAAGTGACTGAAAAGAAATTAAATAGGTCTTTGGACTGTTTACACAGACAGAAAGGGATGTTTATTTGCTCACAAAATGTGTTAGCAGTTGCAGATAGTTTTTACTCTCGGCAATACTTTTGAAATTGCTGACATCTATCAGGTAGCTCTTCTGTAATGCTTTTGGTATTTTGAATAAGTAGTAGGATATTAGACTAACTGAACAGAATGCTATACTAAATTAATTTTTAAACCTCACAATATTTAGGTAATTATAAGATATTTCTGCAAGTAATTTGCAACTAAATGTATTTTGGCATTTGTCTGTTTTGCTTTGTTAGGTTAATAACAATGAAATGGTTGCATTTCAGAGGGAGCCTAATAATCCTTATGATAAAAATGCAGTGAAAGTAAATAATGTGAATGGAGACCAGGTGGGCCATATAAAAAAAGAACTAGCAGCAGCTTTGGCAGGCATTATGGATGACAAACTAGCATTAGTTGAAGGGTAAGTGATTTTGGTTCTGTGAATATAAATAATGGAAATACTTTTTGTTGCTACACTAGCAAATTCTGAAAACTATTTGTAAGTGTTCTCTTTTGACAGAAATGACAGCTCCTGGTAATATGAATGAAGGTTAATGTTTTCAGACTCTTTTCTGCGGAACTACTTGTATACAGTTTATTCTTTCCCATATGTGTTAAAATACGGAGACACTAGTGAGAGTAAATTCCTTAAAGATTGTTGTGGAAATCTTAAATTAACTTCATGTGGTGGTTTGTATAAAAGGTTTACATTGTATGAGTACTGACACCTATCTGGAACACCTATCTGTGTTTTGATTAAAATAAGCACTTTGGAGTACCTCTTGCTGAAGAAATAACAAGATTTATTACAAAAAGTTAAAAAATTAAAAGATTACTGCTGAGGGTTTTTTTTCCTGCTTTTTGTCAGGGTTGTCCCTTATGGAGCAAAAAATGTCTTTACCATGCCTGTACAAATGAGCTTTTGGGGAAGAGAAGAAAATAAGGAGGCAGTACTAGATCAGCTAAAAAGGCACGGATTTAAATTGGCTCCTCCTCTGAAAGTTAAGTCTTGAAGTTTTGTGTTTTTTTCCTTTTTAAAATACTCAGAAATAACTTGCCACTGGTCAGAAGAAATGTTTAAGGGCTTAATCCTCATCTTAGGCTTGTCATTCACAAAATGATTTTTTTAATTTACTTGGGGAATAAGGCAGAGCCCACAACTATTAATTTTAAACTTCATAGGAAGTATAATTTTGTGTCCGATCTTTTATGTTACCTGCCAGCAACTGGAGGAGAGGCGTTTGAGCAGCCTCTATTTCTGAGGTTTCATTGTTCAATTCCATAAGTTCCTTAAAAATCCACAATGATTCACTCTATTTTTCCAGACTTGAAAAATTTTTTTTTAAGAAACAGGTTAGATGCTTCCCTGGGGTGAGGGTTTCAGGGATAGTTCTGCTTTTTAGTAGGGTGCTAGGACGTGTATCCTGCTAGTGAGGTGTGGGGAAATAGAGATGAGATGTCTGAGCAAATAAGCTTAGCAGACCTGATGCTTTGCAGAGCCAGCCTCTCACAAAAAGCACCTGTGTTGCTGGAACTAGGCTTTATTGAAGCATTGATAGTCAGGAGTAAGGATGCGTGCGGAAATAAACATTTGGTAAGGGATAGATGTTTTACATATAGCAAGATCCCAGTTTTTATCTTATAGGTTCTATTGCACATAGTTAAAGAGTTTGGAGTAAAAAAGGATTTTGTGTTATCAGTCATCCTACTATTACCAGCTCAAATTTTGTGTAACACAACAATTTTTAAGAAACACAGTTGCTATCTCAAAGGATCCCAACCCATAGCTCATTGCCTGTGAGTTTTACGCAGCTTTGTGGAAAGCCTTTGTGGCCCGTTGAAAGTAAAGGATAATTGAGGCCAAAAGACAAACGGTGAAAGATACTGTCTTTAACCCACAATCCGGTCAGCGTTGTTACTCACAAGCCAATGAAGGTTGAGACTGGGAAGTCACCATACCGTTGTTTTTCAAAATCTGTGTTTTTAATGGCAAGTAGGTTCAGAATGTGGGTTTGGATCAAAATGGATTTCTGGGAGAGCTGGTCCAAGTTACAATGCCCCGGTTCATACTGCTGTGCAGTTGACACCTGAACAGGTTTGTATTTCATATTCAAACACTTGGAATTTTAACAGTGGAGGCCTTTAACTTTTTAATTAATAAAGCAGTGCTTGGGAAGTGGAAGTCTGTCACTTTTTTTTTTTTTTTTTTTTTTTTCCTTTTCTGAAAGATCTGCTTTGAAGTCATCTTGAACTTATAAACTTTTTCATTTTTATACTGTAAGCAGATATTTTAGCTGTGACAGCTTTGAGTCCCATGTAATTCTGGGAGGGTTTGATTGTTCAGTAATTTTTTTACATCGTGGTGGTGGTGTGCTTTCTTTTCTCTGTCCCAGTGCTTTACCAGATAACAAGTGCGTTGAGTTCTCAAATGAAAGTCAAATCAGACTTCAGACTTCTGTCTTCAGATTTGGCCCAGGGTGATATGCAAAGGGTTGGGTGATGTTTTTTTGCTAGTTTGTTTTTGGTTTCGATTTTTGTTTGCCCCTTCAAATTAGAGTGAAGTAGTTACTTTAGTGAGTGTTGTACAAGGATGTGAATGTATTTAGCCATCCCTTCTCAAGCTCATGCTTGTATTGGCATGTGTTTGTCTTGGAAAAAGTGAACTTAGTTTTTTAGATAGCAGTAGCCAACAAACATATTTGAGCAAATCAGGTCTAAAGTGGTAGTCCTATTTGTACTGATTACCATATGACAGGTAATTGTAATTTAATAGAGTGATTGATTATTTAGTCAGCTTATTTTTAATTGCAATAATTTTAATTGCAGTTTTTGTGTTCATTTATGCAGCTTAAAAGTGAATTTGACAAATTGTTTGAGGATCTGAAGGAAGATGATAAAACTTGTGAAATGGAAGGAGCAGAGGTATTTTTTAAGCTAGAAACTGTTTTCTATAAAAATATAAATACTTAAGAATCTAGATGCATATTTAGCTTGGACCCAAGAGATGCTTGAATCAGAAAAAATTCAGTAGATACAAAGGACTTTAAAAAAAATGTCACAAATGGAATGTCGTATTTAATATGTGAATAGTGCTTAACGTATCTCTGATTTTCAGGCTATTGGCACACCCTTGCTTCCTCATCAGAAGCAGGCTTTAGCTTGGATGGTTTCACGTGAGAACAGTGACGATTTGCCTCCATTTTGGGAAGAGAGAAGTAACTTCTATTACAATATACTTACAAATTTTGCTGAAAAGAAGCGACCTAAAAAAGTTCTTGGAGGAATATTGGCTGATGATATGGGACTGGTAATAATACTTAACCAAGCTTGAACCTTTTTTATACATAACGTGCTTGCTTGTTTCTTGATTGATTCATCATTTGGTTCATTTTAATCTGAAGAAAATATGATGTTCTTTTCTGTTATGCAGGGTAAAACACTTACTACTATTGCATTGATTCTTACAAATTTTCAAGATGGCAAGCCTCTTCCTGTTGAAAAGATCACAGGTGATCAGTTTTGCAAGGTGAGATGAAAGAAAAATATTGTTTTATCAGAGTTAATTTAGCGGTTAATAAAAAAAGACCCTCTGCCCAGTAACTTTCTGTATGGTGAACTTTTTTATACGTTTTGCAAAAAAAAGTTATTCAAGTACATCAAATAAGAGGAAGAATAGGGTAGGTTGGTTGAAGGTAGGTGGACTGTGTTACTTCAGAGTGTATAATGGAGCTGTATGACTGTGTTATCTTAGGAGTGTAGGCTTAATTATACTCAAAGGAAGAAATTATGAGGCATAGACATTTTTAATGTTAAGTTTTAAAAACTAAGGTTTGTATAAATTTCTTCTGTGGGCAGGTTGTGACTGCACAAATAGAAGTGTTTTTTTTCTGGGGGTGTGCATGCATAGTTCCTGTGTAGTTTGGAGGAAGTGCCTGAAGCAACCACAATAGCAAGCTTATATTTTTGCCAAATACTTGAAAGAAAGAGAGGAGGGGAAACTACAGTTAGTGAACTAATGCCAGTGTACAAACTCTTCTTAGACGGTGTAGTTCAAGTGCTTTTTTCTTTCATTATGACATGATTGTCACAGTTTTCAAGACGATGAGGTAAACTAAATGCTAGGATTTGGCTATTTATTATGTAATATTCCCTGACAGTATTAGGGCTGGGAGTTTGGCTTTGTTTTTCCATACTTATCTAAATTTAACCAAATAATGCTTTGTGTTATTTGAATCAGAATCTACAGTTTCATTTGAATTCTGTATGTGACTACTAAAAAAACCAAAAAATAGTATCTTTTTCATCACCTTTAAGTGACTATCTGATCTGCCACTGAGCAAATCTTTTATGTTTCAGAGCTGTAATTAATCACTGGTCAGATTAGTGTAGTAATGTTACTGGCATTTTTTCCAGTTGCTACATTAAAGACTAAAGTTTCCATACCTCAATAGGAATCTGGCGCTACCAGCATGAACAACGTTGGACGCAGAGCATGTAAGGGTGACATCAAACTATGAAAAGTCCAGTGATGCATGATAATCAATGTTTTTACATGTGGTACTCTTTAGTATGTGGTCAGTGCTAGTCTTCACAAACTCTTGACAAGCTAAGTATCTCGGAGAAGTATTTTAAACATATATTTAAAGATGTTTCAGTTGACACATGAGATGATTAAGTGCCTTGTGAGAAAGTTGTACCCTGCCAGGAAAGTTACATCCAGGAAATGGATTCTGGGTTCCTTTTGCTTTAATTTTTCCTTCTTCAAAAATAAAACAGGAACACTTATGCATCTGTTAGAATCTTGTTTGTTTAAACAGTAAATGTTAGTAGTTAATTTGTAATTAGTTTCTATGTCAAGTCACTTTTTTTTTTTTCTTAAATATTTTTAAGTAAGGAGCAAGTGACAAGTATTTAGAAGGATTTTATCACACCTGTAGTTTTCAGGATGCGTCGGGGTAATTTATAGATGTATATGAAAAATTATACTGGCTGTTAGTATGTTTTGTAACTTATCAAGCTCTTGACAGTGACCCAAGAAATGTACAGGGCTTGAAATTTTCTTTCAGTAACTTTCCCTCGCTGTCATCTAATACAAGAAATTTTAATATGGATGGCTTAACTGATAGCACAAGAGAAATGAAAGTGACTGATAAGGAGAGAACACGTTAGTATGAAGTGCCTCTGGTCAAAGCTGTTTTTATCAGTACTCTGGAAGGGAGCAAATGCAGACTTTCAGGAGGGTCAATGTGAGTGTCAGCAGAAAATCCGAACCTTTACCAAAGCTGGAATGCCTAGCAGCATCCAAGACCTTTTTTTTTTGTTTGTTTTTTTTGTTTTTTCCCCCCAAGAGCATCAAGCATTTTAAAAAGATACTATTTACAGCAGTGAGGGAAGAGCCTGTTTCTACTATTATTTAATCTGAAAAAGTGATTATAATGTCTTTTAAACAGTTACACCCCTAACACCATTTCTCATTCTATTGTACATGAGATTGATAGCTATTTCTTGAGTCTTTGCAAGCTTTGCTGTATTCAAGATTGTATTAAACTTTCTTTTTAATATTTAAAAAAATAAATACCTTTACTGAGGTTTAGGTGTGGAATTCAAGCACAGATTTACTTACCTGAGTTATAGCAAAACTTCTGCAAGCACTGTTGCGTTCAGTTTTGATATGAACTCTGTGCTAATGCATTTTGTTGTCTGCATTTTCTTCTGATACGCTATTATTGGCAGAGCACAGAGGTGATGTGTTGTTCACTACCTGATAGAAGACCTTAAAAAAACCCCAACAAAACAAAACTACTCCCTCCACGGCCCCCTTAAAACCCCTACATGTGAATCTGTGCTGTTACCACGTTTTTGCCTTTAATGTTGCTGTTGTTCGTTTTAGTTTTAGGCAATGTAGAAATTAAGTAGTAAGGTTTGACCCATAAAAAGCCTTTACCATTTAGCATTAATTAAAACATCTTTATAGAACTTTATCCTTACTGTTAACTGTACGATGCTTATGCTTGTTTTTTCCTCTTGATGGTTTGTTTTTGACCTGCAAACTCAATACACATTTTATGGCTTTGTAAATATTTCGGATTGTTTTAAGAGTACTTTTATTTTTCATTTGCGATCACAGTATTGGGAGTACTTGTTCCATGCAGAGCTAGGGTTGCTTTAAATGAAGTTTGGACTTGTTCATAATTAAGTTATGCTAAAGTTGGTTTGATAAGCAAGCTGAAGACTATGTGTATTTTTCATAAATACCAATTTCTTCTTTATGAAGACTCTGGCAATATGATGGAACCTGGTGTTTCTAATGTAAAAAAGTTTGAAACTACTCCGATGAAATACTCAAATTGTCTTCCGAAAAGGTAAATAGCTGGAATAATATTTTTCTTTTTGTTGGTTTGCTACATAGATTTTGAGTAAAAATAAAGTGGTACTTGATTATGATTAACCTTAGCCTAAAATATGTTCCTGCTCTCGACTCATCTTTCAGTATGCTATACTTCGGCTTACATTTATCATAAGCGTTCTGTATCTCTGTTGCATTTTGGAATACATTAAAAAAGCATTAACTCATTCAGTGTGGCTTGCATGACTACATCCGTAGATGTTTCCTTCAGTAGTAAAGGTGTCTCATAACATCAGTGTGTGGCATCTAAAAAAATGGCTGTGAAGTAATCTTTCTCCTAGTATCAGAATTTAAGTGGTTAAGAAATACTTTGAGGACATGCTTCTGACAGACAGCTTTGAGCTGATGAAGTTGTGAAACTTACTAATGTGTTTGAACCTTTTCACCACACTAGCCTCTTCTTATAATTGGTGTGAACTTCAGTGATAGTCTGTACCAAGTTTTATGAGCATGATTCACCCTTCAGCTCTGTGTTCTGTGCTTTCCCTTTTTCTAACCCTTCTAAAGAGAAAATTTCCATTGTGGTATCTTACTTGCAGTATCAAGTTCATTTGCTGTATGCTCTTGAGGTTTAATATGTAAATTCAAGCAGTAGTACAGTTGTAGTTTTGTTTTTCTTTCTTAATGATGATATCTTAGAGATAAAGCCAAGAAACCCAGGTATTCAGGAAGCAGTGACTTGGGAGAGTATGAAAAATGTCTACTGCAACAAGCAGAAAGTAAGTTGCAAGGAATTTTTTTTTTTTAATTGGTTACTATGACACCTGGTGTCTTCCCTTCTGAAGCCAAACTGAAAAGGATTTCTAATCAACTGGAAAAGGAATTAAACTATTTGTGGGTGGGTGGGTTGGTTGGTTGGTTGGTTTGTTTTGTTTGGGTGTTTTTTTTTTTTAATTCAACCAAAACTTTAAGCAGAAAATTTAGAAATTGCAGAGTGGGAAAGCAGTATTTTAGTCATAAGTGCTGTAGTTTAATTTCCTTAGCTGAACAAGTGGTGGTGTAGCAAAACTATGAGCAGGGTCAGACAGATGGTGAAAACCAGAATTGCTAAGATTTTTAGAATTTGACATAAACTTGTCAGGGCACTAGGGTTGGCAAAACATATTCAGAAAATTAAATCCATCTTTTGCGGTGAATATCTGAAGTGTGATCATGAAGATGCGAGAGTGTGTCATTTGTTGAACTAAGAATCTTGCATGGGAATAAGGGCTGAAATTTAAGGGCTGCAGGTACTCTGGAGTAAGCGGTTAAATTTAGCTTTAAAGTACTTGTCATGAAACCTTTGCTAAACTATTTTTTTAATGACTGGTAAACTACATTCTTCTGAATATTGATAACCTGAAATAGATGCATAAGATACTGTATTTCTGTACACATTCCTGTCAGTTCAAGGAGCATCTGGACAATGCTCTTAGCCATATGGTTTAGTTTTAGGTAGTCCTTCGAGGAGCAGGGAGTTGGACTTGGTGATCCTTATGGGTCCCTTCCAGCTTGAGGTATTCTACATTATCGTATTGGAGAGGACAAGTCATTTGGTTAACAGGTTTGACTTTTACAAAACATGTCATAAAAATAAATGCATGCATATTCTCTGCATGGTTTGAAAAATCTTTGTCTGGCTTTTTGCAGCAACTTCCTGTGTTATCCAAGAAGATACGGGCTTTGCATCTGTTATCCTACCTTCATCTACTTGTTTAAAAAGACAGACAAAGAGAAAAGGTAACGAAGGGATAAACAGTTAATACTAATTTCTGAATTTTTTGAAGCTGAAGTATTATACATATTTGACTTAATAAATGAAGCTTATGTCTTTGTAAATTGCTTTGATGCTGTTAAGGTGAAGAAATTTAGAAAGGACTTCAGGGAACCGTAAGTTTCTTGAAATTCTACTTTGCTTTAAAGTGAACCGTTAAATATGAATTCTGTTTTCTCAGGTACTGCTAGCATTCAGTCAGTTGAAAAGAAATATTCTGATGATAGCCCCAGAGCAACGCTGATTGTATGTCCACTCTCTGTCCTAAGCAATTGGATTGTAAGTGCTAAGCTGTTTTAATGTGTAAATGTGATACATGTTGATTATGATGCTGTAGAAATAATGCTCCCTGTAGTCTCTTACAGTAGTCAAAGGTGATGGTTTTCTTTTATGAAACGGAGCAGCTTTCACAAGGGAGGTTTATTTGATAGAAATTTAAAAACTGGAGTGGTATTGTAATGAGAGTGGTGTTCCATGAGTAGCAAGATCACCACTGTTAAAAAGAGTGAACTCAACGTTCCATTCCCTGCTTTTGACTAGGCAGTCACTTTGGCATCTCTGGTACTCATGTGATTTGACTCCTTAAACCAAATGAGGAAGGTGGAGGAGATAGGTCCTTCTTGCATGCTCAGAATAAGACATTGTTATACTTTATTGGTAATGCATATGACATTTCATTTACTAGAGCTGTTTAGTAATTTGGCAATCCTGTTGGTGATTTGTGGGAGTAGGTCTGCTAGAATGAACAGGCTGAAGGGCCTATCTAGCTCTGTCTCTGCATTAGTTACTTTTTTTTTTTTTGTTTTCATGGCATTTTGAATACAAGTGTATTACAGGGGTATCTTTAACTTTCAAGTTACGTTTTATTTGGAAGTTTTTGCTGTCTGTGGTTAGAACATTAATAAGAAAAGGAAACAATCTTAGACTGTAGGTAAAACATTAAAATAATATAATTTGGAAACATCAAATAGTGTAAAAAAAATACTCTGCCAATTCAAAACTGAATTAAATATTTGAAAAGAAAGCTTGCATCTGGTGCCTCAAAAATCAAATTGTTGATGTTTATTGGCTCTCAAGATTACTGTATGCTGGGTGCTTCACAGAACAAATATAAACACTGGTTTTAAAATTAATACTTGGACAATTGTGCCATCGTGCCATCATTTGTGTTAAAACTTAGGTGGTTAGCTCGGTAAGGGTAAGAAGCTGTAAATGAACAGTGAAAGAATAAACAAAGGGAAGATGAAGGTAGAAAGTGACAGTATTAAAGCTCTTCCGTAACAGTTTGGGAGGAAGAGTGGATTTTGAGGTGCATATACCATCAGGATGTGGATTAATAAGTCAAGCTAGAGATGTCAGAATGTGATATTCTGTCTATTACTGATGACTGAGGTGGCTGCTTCTGGTCCCTCCTCTCACCTGAGTGGAGAGGTAAAGAGAAACCCAAATTAAAATTGCTGTCGTTATATAAGTGGATGTAAATGTCACAGAGATAGAGGAAGTGGTTTTTAGGTAAGCATCTTACAAGAATATTATTCTAACAATCATGTAGTAACACAGTGTCTTTTGGATGACTTTGATGGCTTTTCTTTCAGGACCAGTTTGAACAACATATCCACCAAGATTTTCATGTAAATATTTATGTTTATTACGGTTCTCACCGTAGCAAAGACCCATCAGTTCTTTCAGAGCAAGACATTGTACTGACGACGTACAGCGTCTTAGCTACCGATTATGGAGTAAGTAAATGAGAAGACCTGTTCTGTGAAGATTCCTTACCGTTCAAGACTCCTGGTGTTTGGGCTAATGGTGGTAGTATATTTGAGTGCTGTTCTGGTAGGCAATCAAAAGGTTAGAGCTGTATTTTTGCTTTACATAGTTTCTTACGGGTTCACTGTGGTAACAAAGGAAGGTTTTTTTATTGATTGCTCCTGTAGAGAAAATTATTTGACTGCAATTATGACAGCTTAAGGAAGAGACTTTTTAAGTATAGAAAAGGATGGCAAATGTGTAAATCTCCCCAAATCTTAGTGGCATGAGGCTCCCATTTCTGCCTTCCCCTATCAAATTCAAAGAATATGGAGCATATAAAACCATAATTCCATAGTTCTTGTTGCATGTGGGCTGCAACCGAGTAGCTTGTTTTATGAGATGAATTTGTGATGTTTTCATAGAAATTCCAGCCCTTTTAAAAGCCTTAAATTACATCTTTAAATAGAATATAAACTTTTAATTTGCTCTCTGATTCATTTTCCATATCTCTGTGTCTTTGAGGCCTTTCTTCTTTTCAGGCTCAGCTTACTTTTTCTGTAGCTCATTCCTGATACTTATACATGAGAAGACTGGTCACATTTTCCAGGAATCATTAAATCTGAAAGAAGGAATGCTTCATTCTTAGTTTTGCTCTATCCATTATCAGTTGTGGAATTGGTATATTAATAGCTTGTCTAATCCAAATTGCATAACAATTTTTCAATTTTAGTCAAAGATTAAAAAACTACTGTGTTTCAGATCAGAGATGACAGCCCTTTACACAAAGTCAAGTGGCTGAGAATTGTATTGGATGAGGGGCACACTATACGAAATCCAAATGCTCAGCAAACTAAAGCTGCCTTAAATCTCGAGGGACACAGGAGATGGGTACTTACAGGTAAAATATTTGACACCAGGGGAAATGCAGTGCAAGTCATCTTAGTATAATACCATCTTGGTTATCCTGTTCGGTGTTTCCACTTTGGCTTTTTCTGGGGGTGGTTAATGTCTGTCTGCATCAGCTTAATTTGGAATGTTTTTAAAAATGTCTTTGAGCTGTGACTTAGATGTGTCGTGTTTTAGTTGTTTTTTATTTTGGTTCCTTGGTTTTGTGGTGTTTTTTGGTGTGGGTTGATTAACTTTTGATACACAGGTTTGGTGGAGTTGCAAGTAGAAAGGGATCTATTTATGAACTGGCATGTTACGTCTGGTTAGAAGCTCACACTCCTGCATACTTATCCGAACCTCAGTAGCTTTTTGAAATGTAATAGTCATCATAAAAACTGCCAGAGACCATGGAAGCATATGATTCTTAAATGTAATTTAAAGAAGATCATGATGTAACCACTGCTGGTGAAGCTTAAATGGAAAGGTCAACATTCAAGTCTTCTAGCACTGAGTGCTGCAGTTTTCTCACTCTTAGGTATTTTAAGTGTTTTGTAAAATTTGAATTAAAAAAAAAAGGTATTATACTTAACAGCATGTCAGTCTAGTTATGAGAGACCTTGTCCATAGTGTATGGTTTGGAAAAAGCACAGAACTTTCACTTTGACTGAAAATTAGTATTTTTTAGTTTGAGGTTTTACGATTACTTATTTTGTTTATTTTCTGTTTAGGGACTCCTATTCAGAATTCTGTAAAGGATTTGTGGTCTCTTATTTCCTTCTTAAAACTGAAACCTTTTACTGATCAAGAGTGGTGGCACAGAACAATTCAACGTCCAGTCACAATGGGAGCTCCAGGAGGACTTGGGTATGAAGTGTTCCCAAAGGCTTTGTGAACAAGTAGGACTGGCAGCGCTTGGGCAATGTGACAAATTAGTGTTTTATGTTTAAAACTGAAGTGCGTGTGTCATCAGTTCTTACTTCAATTTTTTCAGTTGAACTTAATAAATAGTAAATAATTCAAATTATTTAATATTTCAAATTAATGAATTACATTGTCGTACTGGGTTTGGATTTTATATAGAACATGTATTTATGCAATAAACTGGAAAAAAAAAACCCAAGCAACAAACCAACCCCAGCTGGGTAATATATTGTCTATATATGTATTTTTAGGCGTTTACAGTCTCTGATTAGGAGTATTACCCTTAGAAGAACTAAAACAAGTAAAGTTAAAGGAAAGCCCATTTTGGAGTTACCAGAACGTAAAGTACTTATTCAGCATGTTACGCTTACAGAGGAAGAGAGGCATATCTATCAGTCTGTGAAGGAGGAGGGCAAAGCTGCTATAAGCAGGTAAGTAGAAGGCTTTTTTAGTCCCGGAGGCTGAAGTTTGATACCACAAGCCTGTGTTTCAGAAGTTTTCATTATGTTAGCTCAAGTAGCCAATGTGTCAGTTTGTATGCTGTAAGCTAATAAATGCAAACAAGCATAGCATCTGTTCAGTTCTGAAGAGTGAAATAGAGACTACTGGAGAACTGTATATTAGCAGTTCTGTCTTGCAAGAAATAGAAGGGGATACCAGATATGTAAAGAATGGCTTTAGAATTTTTGTCAACACGTGTTAGCATTTCTTCTAGTAGAACATGGTATTGTTAGCATTTTGTACCTTGTTTCAGGAGAAGATTCAAAAAAATATATTTAAACAGGAAAGTGAAAAATAAGAACGTAATTCTAACAGCTAAACTTGATCACTTTGTCATCTGTTACTTCAGGCAATAGCATCTCACACTAACGATAAAACTCTTATTCAGGTTTTTCAGTGAAGGGACTGTACTAGCTCACTATGCTGATATCCTTGGTGTCCTGCTCAGATTGAGGCAGCTTTGTTGTCATCCTCATCTTTGTATAAATTCGTCTACTTTTTCAGCTGGTGAGTGAATGCTTTTGGTTCCTGTGTTTCTAAAAACAGGACTTGCACTTTGTATTCAAGAACAGATACACATTTGTGTGTTTTCCAAGCTTTCTAGCTTCAGCCTTCCTCTTTTCAGCTTGGTTTTTAGACTTTACTTACTTTTAGCTTTGTTACGTTTATTTTTTTCACACCATAATATGTTTGAAAGTGGGTACTCGAGCACATAGTCAAATATGAACGAAAGCAATGAAGTATGAGTACTTACGAAGACTAGAAGCAGGAGTTAATAAGCTTTGACAGCCCATGCAGAAATGACCAAAGAGGACCTCTGCACAGCCAAATAGAGAAGGCTTGTTGAAAAGCAGTGTATCTGTTATTGTAATAATTTACAGAAGTGCTTTCACAGCAGATTTTTTTCTTTGCCTCGGGAGAGAAGATGTAGAGGAGCTTTGGGGAATGGCTTGTAGATTGGTAGCCATGTCAGCAGAACCATTGCCTCTTCAGCAGAGTTAGGAGACTGTTGACTTTGTTACAGCTGTAAGGAAGGGTTAACACAGAGGACTGAAAGGAGAGTGAAATTTTATTTTTGAGAAGCCAGAACTGTACAGCTGCGTAGTGTTAAAAATCATATGCATTTCTTTCAGAAGAAAGTATAATCTGTTTGAAATACTCTACATTTGAGAATTCTCAAATTTAGTATTTTGAAAAATCCTATTTTGAGATGCCGTTGGTATAGGTGTGATTTTTTTCAGGAAACCGAAAGATCAGTGAGATGTGGTCAGAACCTTTTTCAGAAGGTTGTCATTTATCTTCCTGAAAAATACAGGATGGAGTAATTATTGGATAATTGTTCAATAATTATTTAGAAATTACCTAGTAAGTATGATTGGAATTTCTTTACCTAAAAAATAAAGCAATCTTAAATACAAGCAGTCATCTCCGTAGTATTGTTATTAGTTGGACAGCTGCCATATGAAAATTTCTTGTTCCCATTAGGCATTGTGTTGTGCAGGTACTTACCTCTGAGCATGCAGTCAAGGTTCTTTGAATTCCAATTATCATTTTTCCAGTAAGATTACTCTTAATGTATTTTGAAATAGTAGGTGAAAATTTTCTGCAGTATTTGGCAGCTTGTGTTCTTATACATTGTAGGCTATATCCTCATTGTGTATAAGCTGTCCTAATTGTGTTTTGATCAGTGGAACTATGTTGATGTGTGCCAGCTCAGAGTGTTTCCTGTATGGAAATCTCTGTTTTCAAGTATCTTTCTGTATTTGCAGATAACGAAACTCCTGAAAAACTGCATGAGACATTAGTGAGTAAAATGAAGTTGGTTCTGAGCTCTGGTTCAGATGAAGAATGTGCAGTTTGCTTGGAATCACTGACTCTTCCTGTGATAACACACTGTGCACATGTATTTTGTAAGCCATGTATTTTTGAAGTCATCAGAAGTGAACAGGTTGGTTGTTCTACGGTTACAGTTAATTGTAATAGCTATTCAAAAGCAATGAACTGGTGTCACCAGACAGCCATCTAGCTATTGTTTTTTTAAGTCATAATTGGTAAACGGTGTAAACCTACTTATCAGACAGGCTCTAAAAAGTATTGGCCTGAAGTCAAGCTATGGAGAGAGTAGCTGTTAAACTGAACAGTGTTAGGGTCCATCAGTATTTTCAAAGACCTTTTCCCTCGTTCTCACCTTACTTTGTCCCTAGGGTAAAAGTGATGACATCCAGAGCAGCACTGTATACCTCCATAAGGCTGGATGCCTCTTCACTTCTTGTATGTGATGTGATGCACGTATATATTGTTGTGCTTGAAAGAGACCAAAGCTGTGTATTGGAAGTTGACTGTTGAACTAAAATCATGTCTGTTTTCCTTACTCCAAGCGGATAACCTTCTAGAGTGAAATAGCTGCCCTGCTTAGAGGGCCGTCTTTATGGCCCTTCTCTGGACTCTCTCCAGAATAAGCTTGTGGATGAGCGTCTTTTGATCACTTTTTTAAACAACATGGTGTTTATTTTTCTTGTGCGCTTCTAAGCTATACTTTTCCTTCTTCTTTGCCCTTTCCTTTCTAGGGCAATCTGATAGTGGACTTCCTCTCTGGAATTTTTCTGCTTCCTACTCAGCCACGGTAGAGATGCAAGTGCCAGGCTAAACCTAGCTGGTGTTCTTGGTAGAGAGCAGCAGCTTTCTACAGTAGGCATTGGGACAAGTTAGTCCGTGCTTGTGCATAATCAGTCAACCTAAGAAGGCAAAGGTAGGAAGTAGCATCTGTCTGGCACATAGATTGACCTTGTTTCATTGCCAGACAGGCAAGCTTGTGATGCAGATATCCCAGTCGAGAGTTTCTGAGGATTTTGAGGGAAACTGGTGATGTGAATTCTCCAAGTAAGAATTTCAAAGCAAAATTCTCTGGTGATGTGATACTCTCAAAGGAAAGAGCACTTGTAGAGGCCTTTTTCCAGTGCAGAGGTTCTTGATGTGTCTGTAGCAGAGTTGGTGTACCTACTCAACCTTGAGGTGTATTTAGGCGTACAGAGAAATATATCGGGTTATGACGTGATGGAACCTGTATTACTTGATTGTACAGTCAAGTTATTTACTATGCTTTGCCTAGAAAAGATCTTGGGATCTATAGACCTAGGGCCTTTGTTTCATAGATTGCTTTCATATTAGTGAAGTCTGAATAGAGGTGGGTGTAGATTCTGCTCTTTTGAAGTTGAACTATCATGAGTTTATAAAGCAGCAAGTGAGCAAGCCTTCCTTATGTTCAGAATTATTCCTGATTTAAATCAATTCCCAAGTAAGTTTGTGCAGATTCTGGACAAATCACTGACAGACACCAAAATTCTAGCGTTGGGGAATTCACTGTTTCCACATGATAGGTGTTTGTCCTACTGCTGCATCTCAGTTGGGTATTTCCTGTGCCTCGATGTTTACAATGCAACTCTCCTAGTAAATAGCTTGGGAAAATAGTTTGCTTACCCCGTTTAAAAACAAAGGAAACCAACAAACACATGGCCATCCCCCAAAACAGCTTGGGTTCAAACAGGATTCTTCCCGGCAAGATGCCTGTGGTTTCCATTATTAATACGAATGAGGACGTTAAGCCATCAGTGAGGAATGGGATGCGAAGCTGCCAACGCAAAACTGCTAAGTGAAAAAGTTTGGCCTTTAATTGCATTACAAACTCAGAGACCATTTTATCTTCCTAATGTGAACCTGAATGTATTTACTGAAATTGGAAAAATTTTTTGGTAGTTAACAGCTTGAGAGTTAACACCTTCTTTCTTCACTTCAGTCTTTCATTGAGGCTAGCTTAAGAGTTGTACAAGTAAATGAAGATCCTATGCTGAAGTCACGATAAAGCTATAAAATCTCTACAGTAATCTAGTGTTTCTGTGTTTTAACTGCATTCTTGTAAAATCTTGTCAGATACGCATTAAAACTTTTTTATTTTAGTTGTTCATTGTGATACACTTTTTGTCATTTTCATATGCTTTTACTTCAAGTCTTTATTTGTGTTGGCATTGTTCGGTTGTGGTTTGGTTTTTCTGTTTTAATTACAGTACTAAATTGGCAATGGGATGCAGAAAGATGTGAGCCTCTTATTAAAAAAACCCAGTCTTTATAAGCACCATTAAGCTTTTTTTTTTTTTTTTCCCCAGAAAACTTTGTGAGATTTATTAGAATTCATTTATTTTGTCTCATTGTTGGAGGAATTTTGGTTTGTTGCCAAATCAGGAAAGTTCACTTGTAACTGTGTTTTGGAGACTGTTATTTCGGATTTGTTTGTGTTAAGATTCTGTCTCTTTAAAGGGTATCTTTAATGCTACAATAAATTCATGTATGCAGACTATGACTGCCAGCCTCTTTAATTGGCTAGAGGTTCATTGCACATTAGCAGCCCCCGGTATTCATCTGCTTTGTGAGGTCTGCTTTGCAGCCTGTCTAAAGATGCCTTGGTTCTATGGCCAGATTGCTATATAAACTGAGTTAGCAAATTTTAAAGGGTTGCTCTGTTAGGCAGAAGTTTTTCTTGTCTGTCATTTTTGCTTCGCAAAGTTGTGTATTTGTATAGTGCACACGGTCTTTTGTTAAATTTTGTGAGTAGTCCTATGGAAGTGCTATTGTATAAATTCTAAACTTTGCTTCAGAGAAAAAAAGTTTTATTGTTAAATTATGTCTCATTTCTCATGTCTGTTGGGGAAAAAGAGAAGATACACTGTGTCTGGCCCTGACAAAGCATATTTCATCAGACTGCTATTATTTCTGTGCAGGCTTTGAAGAAAAAGGGTGAAAGGTCATTCTTTGTTTGTAACTAAGATCTTGTCTTTGAAAGATGGTTTATTTTTCTGATATTTTAAATAGTCTTCTCCCCATAGCCCAAGTATTTTCTTGCTTTTAAATCTTGAGCTGCTTATTTCAAATATAAATATGATCAGATAGAAGACCACTTTTTTAAAACATGTAGCATTTATGTCACCTTAATGTTCTCACAAATAAAATATGTCAGAAAATACAAAGCAGTGTGTTAGAAGAATTAATGTATTCCCTGAGGATTTTTTTGTATGAACACCAACGTAATAATTTCATACAAGGTGCTTTGTAAAGTGATCTTTAGTACTCGCTATAAATAATTTGATCTAATATGTTTCTTTTAATGTTGTTTGGGCTTTTTTATAGCCAGATGCCAAATGCCCTCTCTGTAGGAATGAGCTTCGGGTAGAGCACTTGGTGGAATGTCCCCTAGAAGGAGAAATAGACTCCAGCAATGGAAAGAAGTCTGATCAGGGGTGGATATCCAGTTCAAAGGTACTTTCCAATGTGTTTTACTTGGCTTTCATTATGGTTTTGTAGAGCACTCTCTAGAATTTTTATGTAAGTATGCTGAACATACTTTACATATGCATAACATGCTATAAATTATTATTTAAAAGTCTGCACAGCGTGTCAGGCCAGCACAGGAGAAAATATGTAATAAAATCTCATGACAAATTTTACAGAAGGGAAACAAGACAAAAGGAGCACCAGTTGTAATTTGATGCTGGTCATTGTGCATTACATAGATGTGTATTAATTAAATAAAACTTTTGGTAAAAGAGCTGTTGCTTTGGCTTTTGTTTCTGTTTCTTAAGATAGAGTAGTTCCATAACCACTGAAACTAATCAGATCTTAATTTACTTTTGTAAACTAAAAATATAAATAAATTCTTCCTTCTTAAAACTTGTCTAAAGAATATATATTCTGCTCTAGAGGGGAAAACTAAATGGGTATCATATATGTTCAATATAACACTTGTCAGATAAACTAGTGAGAATCTTTTATTTTATTTTGCAGACCTGTTTCTCAAGGTATGCCACATAATTTTTTGCCTCACCTCCACTATGCACTCGCTGCCAGAAATTAAATCTTCCTGCATGTACTTGGACCATTTTGTTTTAAGATTGTTTTTCTGAAATACTAAATTTTTAATTCTAATTTGTAATGAAGTTATTGTTATTTCAGAAGTTGATTATAAATTTATTCCCTAACAATCTTTCTGTGGAGACCTAAGAACTAATTTAGGACATTGTGCTCTGGAATAAATTAATATTTTAAAAATTATTATTATTATTTATTTTTCACCTGGTGCAGTCACTTGCATTCTCTAGTCAGTGGTTCTTTACCTTATCATAGCTAAACCTTACATGAGAAAACTGGCAATGTTGCTCTGCCTCAGATTCAATTCCTTGCTCCTTTTATTCTCATGTTAGTCCTAAGAATGTTTCTGGTGCCTCCTTATCCTCTGTCATACCTAGCCAAGGGTCTTGCATAGCTTATTTGCCTGAATATTCCTGGAGGAAGCCTTTCTAACTGCTTGAGTATAGCTACAGTAGAGCACTTGCCTTGTGGCTGTCTCTTGCACAAGCCTTACTTTTCGGAGTTCTTTTTTGTGCCCTGGAGGTAGGGGACTTGTTGACTCCTGACAGCGGGAAGTATGTCTCGAAAAAGGGGTTTGTGAATCTTCCTCCCCAAAGCACTGTCAATCGCCCTGTAGCTTGTGACCATTAAAAATGCTCAATCCTTAGTTTCCTGTGGAAACTAAAAGAAACTACCCACAGATTAGTTCCGTTTAAAAGGTATTACTGAACAGTGATTTCTCAATTGATGTGAACTTTATCAAAGCACCTGTAGGAGTAGAATCTAACCAACTCTGGATAAGCTACATAAGTCTTCATTTGATTTCAGATAAATGCTCTCATGCATGCTTTGATAGAACTACGGAGAGATAATCCAACTGCTAAATGTCTGGTTGTTTCTCAATTCACAACTTTCCTGTCACTTATAGAAAATCCCTTGAAGTAAGTAGAACTACTGTCACTCTTAATAAATATGTGCTTTTGCAGTGTTTTAGAAAGATTGCTTGAAGAATATATTATCCTTTTTATTTTTAGAACTTCAGAAGAGGAACAAATTACTTCAATATTTACTTTAGTGGAATAAACCCGCAAATCTTAATTCTTGTTATTTTTAATGTATCATCTGTTAAAAGCAGAATTTTAAATATGCATTTCAAAGTAGAGGTCAGGATTTAAATGTATTTATTTCCTGTTGTCACAGAAAATGGATTGTTAAATTGAACATTTTTACTTTCTCTTCAGAGAATCAGGGCTTGCCTTTACTCGTTTGGATGGGTCAATGACACAGAAGAAAAGAGTAGAAGCAATTCAGTGTTTCCAAAGCAGGCAAGCAGGATCCCCAACTGTAATGCTTTTGTCTCTGAAAGCAGGTGGAGTTGGATTAAATCTGACAGCAGCTTCCCGAGTGTTTTTAATGGATCCTGTGAGTAATGGGTTGTTCATAATGGTCTGGCTTAATCTAGGTGAAGCTCCTTTGGATGTTTTCCTAAGAGGTAGAAGGAAAGCCTCTCTGAGAATGAACAGCATTGATGAGTATCTGTTAAAGGGCAAATAGGGCTTTTCTTCATTTGTTTCCCTGGCATGTTTTTATGCTGTCCACTTATTTACTGTGAATGGAAAGAATGCTAGTAGTACTGTTAACAAAGAGGTTTGACATCTTACAGTGTAGCATCTGATAACTTTCTGTCTGTCTTTCCTTTCTGTCTTTCTTGTCTTTCCTTTCCCTTCCTTACGTGGTTTTCTGCATGTTCTATTTAATAACTTCAAAAGCCATAGCTGAATTTCAGGAACGGTGTATTTTTTTTTTCTGTGTTATAATGAGGTGCTTCTCTGCTCTGGTCTCTTCTATTATTTTGTGAATTTATTTATAAATACACTAGTCTGAAGTTACTTTTTGTGGTTGTAGGAGACTGAAAAAGATGGTGATATCTAAATTTAGGAAGTTTTTTTCTTTTGTTAAGGCACTCAGGAATGCGAAATTACTTATAAGGAATAAAAAACGTAAATTACGTTTATTGATAGCAAAATGGTATTAACAGGATTGGTTCGTGTCTTGTGTCATTGTATAAAATGGAAGTTTTTCTCTTCACTTCCTCCCTTCCCCACTATTTACTCCTCTGCTCTGATGTTCTAGTTTTTTGGCAATTGGAAACAGACAAATTCTGCAGTTTGTGCGCTTGAAAACAAAACCAAAACCAAAGTAAATTAAAATAATAGTGTAACTTTGGACTTGGGTGCCTGGTAACACCAATAGTAAAGAGGAGGTACTAGCTTGGACGTCAGGTTAGTGATAATAACAGCATGAAGACAAAAGCTATTTACTTAATAAACTAAAAGAATTAAATATGAGAGTATGGAGAGTTGCCTTGGAAAAGGTTTTTCATTAATTTTGATACATCTTTACAAGCGTTGTTTCTGTATGTGTTGTGTTGAATAGTTTAGTTGGAAGGGACCTACAACACCATCTAGTCTAACTGCTTTTTCTCTTTTTTTAAACAATTCTCTGAATAAGAAAACTAGTGGAAAGTCCCAGAGAATTTTCATTTTCTATCAAGATAACTAATGAGGTACAATGCATACACTGTCCTGCGACAAGCAGTTGTAAGAAAATAAGCTAAGCATTGTTAACAGTGGGTCATCTACAGTATGCAGTTATACCTCACAAACCAGAGCCACATGTAATTGCAGCCTTTATACACCATCAACAACTTATCCTCATCCTGCTGGTAACCATCCCGTGATGATAACCGTCCCAAGTGTCAGTGGTTGACAACTTGTATTTGATGAAGAGGCAGTGGGACCACATGATCCTTTATGATCTCACTTTTGAATGTTCGGTGTTGAATGAGATTTGGTCATGCATTAGCACTCTTTGAAGTGAATTAGCAGCAGTAATAGGATTTAAGAAGCAGAAATACCTCTGGAGCCAGTGGAGTAACTAGTTTTTCTACTCGGATTCTGTGGATTTGTTGTAGAACTGTAGCTTAGAGGTCTGCATTCTTTTTCTGAGAGGTGTTATAACTCAGCACAAGGGAGGAACATTTATCCAACCATAGACTACTTTCTTACATATTTATTTATTTGTTTAACTACAGTCGCATCTGCTGAAATCCCACCTTTAGGAAGAAATAGGAACCTTCAGTGTGAGAGTATCACAAGTATACAGATGTTTCTGTATATTTTCCCATGTAAAAAGTAGTATCCTTTGTACAAGATGTTGCTGAAAGTCATAGAGGTACTGGAATTCAGTTTTCCTTTGCTGGACTGATGAGAAAAGAAGAGTGAGAGTAGTATACTTTGGTCCTTCTTGACTACAGCAAAAGTAGAATGGAACACACTTGTGCATATTTGGGCTAGGTCTTTCCTCAAGACATCATCTTGTTTATACAGTTAGATTAGTATAAGAACAGTTTGCTGTACATAGCTTGACGGAAATGTTCATCTTGTGATGTATCATTTGTGGCACTTCTCACTACCTTAGACTGGAGAAACAAGACCTTTATTGGCTTTTGTCTTGCAGCTTGATGCGTTAGGTGCGTTTAGGCATCAGAGGTTCTTAGAATCTAAAACTGGCACTAGCCTAGTGCTGTTTTCTCCCCCCTTCTATAGAAAGGAGTCATTAAGAAGAGTTCCTAGATAACTTTCAGTATGTGGGTGACATTGGCAAGGTGAGCCCATTGCACGAGACTTGCTTGTCACAAAGAGAACATTACTACATTTTAGGTAGATTTAAATAGCTATTCTGTGACGACTAGTAGTATTGTACCTTTAGATAGAGAAAACACGCTGGAAAAATGCAGAGCACAGACCTGGCATTTCGCAAATCCTTATATTTAGTGTTAAATCCTAAGCATAAATATGAACAGGTACACTACCATGTTGTGTTCAGCAAACGTCTTGTTTACCTAACTTGGTGATTATTGCATATACTAGTGGAACTAGACATGGGCTTTTCTTAGCAGTCAAGGGACTTAGTCTACTGGTAAGTAACTGCCTGCATTTGGCTGGTTTAGATTTTGCTATCAGGAAAAGGGTACTGAGACAGTTACTATATGCAGTGTTTATTTCAGAATTAAAATGATGAGATTGTTTTGATGTCTCCTGGACTCCTGACTAACTTAGTTTTTAAAGCATTTACGTGAAGTTCCTGCTTGTTATGAATATATAACCAGAAGTTCTCAAAGCTTTCTTTATAGCAGGATACTTTAGGAGTGAGACGTTCAGTTGGGAGTAATTAATCTGCAAACAACATTTGTTCAAGAGATGATGGTACAATAACTTCTTTGTGATTCCATGTTCATCTTACTATGTATTTAGAAGGGAGGTTATTTCACTTTTTCATTGCTGCTACTGATAGGCTTGGAATCCTGCTGCAGAAGACCAGTGTTTTGACAGGTGTCACAGACTGGGTCAGAAGCATAATGTTGTTATTACTAAGGTGAGTTGAGAGATGATCTGTTTGAACAGTTTTCTGGTTGTGAATAAAAAAAATTATTTTCCAAAAACCTTCACTGTATTTTTAAAAGAATTGTGACATCGTATGTCTCACCAGTAAACTTAAATTGTGGTATGATTTTTTGAAGTGTGGGCTTTGAATTGTTAGATTTTTATTAAATGTGACCTAATTCCTGTGAAGAGATAATTACAGAAATTAGATGTTCCTGTTGAGCTGTTTGGAGTAGCTAAGGTTGGAGTAGTATTGCCATTGTGTAGCCTGGCTATTACAGTTTATTCTTTTGAAGGTATGTAGCAGGCTTTTGCTTTTGGCATAGCAGCTTGTTTAGCTGCAGAAGAGCAGCTGGTCTGTCTCATTAACACTCAGTCACAAAAATATTACTTGGGAAATTGAAGGATGGTTCTCTTGAATATAAGTAGCAAAGAAGAGACAGATACTCTTCCAGTAAGTTTTTAAAAAAGAACAAAGGCAAAAAAAAAAAAATGCCAGACCTTTTCCTCCAGCTGCTTTATAACCCTTCCCTCTTGTGTTTTCTTTACAAAGTAACAACAAAATAACCTAACTGCTTTACACTACTCAGTTTTTAAACTTTTTTTTCCAAAGTACCCGTTTCTCATCGTAAACTTTTAATTTAAAATAAAAACACAAGAGCTTTGTTTTAGTAGGGCTTTTTATGTATTTCAGTTCATTGTGAAGGATTCAGTGGAAGAAAATATGCTGAAAATTCAGAACAAGAAGAGGGAACTTGCAGCAGGAGCCTTTGCTACCAAAAAGCCTTCAGCAAGTGAAATAAAACAAACCAAAATGAATGAAATTAAGGCTTTAATTGATTTATAGCTTGAAACTGTGGTATTCTGAGTAAATAATACATTTAATATTTTAGTATATAATGCTCTTCAAGTTATATGTCTCATGCTGTCTTTTAGTTTTGCTGTCTTTGTGGTCAAAACATAAATGCCTCAAATAAATTGCAAAAACTAATTTCCTCCTAAATGTTAATTTAGAAATGCACAAACTTGTTTTGCACTCCTGAAATTTTTCCAGTGTTCATTTGTTCAAAATGTTGCTTATTATGTACAACGCTTAAGAATACATAAAAATCCCTCAATACATGAATGTGTACTCATGCATTCTAACACGCAAGAATTTAATCTTTTTTTTTAGAGGTGAAAAGATAACAAAAGGTAAATAATCCGTGTTTTGTCCTTCAGACAAAACCCTTAAGAAATGATATAGCTTCAAGTTTCAATCTCGGTGCTTCCTGATAACCAAACAGATCATCTGGATTGTTTGTTTCAGAAGAGGTGGTCAGTGATCAGGAATCCTTACTTTTGCAGACTATGTTCAAAGTTGGTATTTAATTCAAAATTTTAAGATTTTATTTTACTATTTCTGAATAATACACAGGTGCAGCAGGGAGTTCTGCTGCTTACTTCCCAGGAGCTAGTAAAAATGAAGTACTTAAATTTGTAACACACTTTCTTTTAATATTTTACTTCCCTTAAACAGAATTCCACTGATTTTTGTAAAAGTACAGGTTTTGTGATTTGGATAAAATGCTAGACTCATAGGCTTGTATTGATAATATGCTTTCTAATAATTTCTGTACATGCTTTGAACAATATGGCTGTGCTATATGCTATATGCAAAGCAGAATATGACCCACTCACTTGTCAGTGAATCAGTTAGTCCTTGCAAAATGAACAAACCAAAACAAATTATTTTAATAGCTGCCAGCTTTCTAACAGTTTTCTTGCACTGCTAAGTGCTTTTCCAGTCTCATACATATGTCTTAATGGAGTGCTGATCTGCATGTGTCTTGATTAATAGAGGAAGACTTCGGTAAAGTACTCATGTTCATATACTGCAGAGTAATAAATAGCACTGAAGAATCTCAGTTGAATATTATTTGAATATTCTTGTCTGTTCCTTCTATCTCTTTCCATTTGATTTTGGTCTTCTGTTACGTGTTTTCTTAACACTATGCTGTCTTCCTGTAATGCTCAGACTTCAGATTTGAGGGCAGGGATTGCTATGTTTAGGTCCTGTTTATATTTTGCTATGTTTAGGTCCTGTTTATTTTTTTTGTGTTAAATTCAGGAGGTGTATTTGGCAGCAGAGAAATGGGCTCTGATTTGCTTCTCGTGCCTTTCACCTTTTCTTACATCTTGGAATACCAGCCAGGTAGTTATAAGATGACTTGCAAACATGGCAAATGGAAAAGGACTGAGAAACAAAGGCATGACGTCTGATAGTTGGAGAAACAGTGAGCCAATGGAAGGAGTGAGAAAGGAATTCAAAATATGTAACCTAACAAACTGATGCAGTTTTTGGGAAGCCAGCATCTTAGCTATGGAGAAAAGTGTGGTTTAAGTCTGTTAGAGAAAGAATTAAAAAGACATGAATGATGGAAGACAGTGTGAACCCCAGCAACTGGTTGTCACTGGAAAGTTGACAGAATATGAGAACTCTAGAGCTACACCTGATAACAATTTTTTTTTTTGGCGCAGAGCTTATGGAAGTTAAACTTTCTTTGGGTTTTTGTGGTTCAGATTGTGATGTTTAGAGATAAGCTGGAGAGATAATTCCTGATTTTGAATGAGAAATTTGGCTCTGTGTCATTCTTCCCATTTTCCAAGTTAAAATTCCATGAGAAAGAGACCAGTTTCAAGGCTAGTCAAGCTATGTCATTACTTGTGTTAAAATATGCTGCCATTTTACAGAGTGGCTGAGTTACGAGAACAATTACTAGTACAATTTTTTTTCTCTACTAGATGATGGTTTCCATGTTCCAAAGCCAAATAAAAACTTACTAAGTTGTATGGCTAGTTAAGGTCTCTCCCAAGAAAGCCATTACTGTATCTGAGAACAGTTAAAGGTCAAAGCTGAGAGCAGAAAAGTCCTGTCTGATTTGATGGAGCTGTTTAGTTACTCGAGTGGTTTAAAAACCACAGTGTTCTGGGTGGTTGGGGTTTATTTTTGCTTTTCATGATGTGGAGGTAGTCTTTGGCTGTTGGTATTCTCTTTCTTGGAGTTCTAATGGTATGTTCTGTGGCATGTTCTAGAAATGAGCTTTTTGGAATTTTGAACTTGGCATTTAAAATTCCAAAGATGGAGGTAATAGTCTATCACTCTGGGGTCTCTCTTACCCCCTACGTAAAGTAAAGATGTAAATTTAAAAAAAAACAAAAACAAAAACAAAAACAAACTTCTAAGGCTTTGAGAGTTGCTCTGAGTTGTCACCATTTAAGGAACACGTTATATTATATACTTTTTTTGAAGGCAAATGAAGTTCCAATAGTTGAGTCACAGTCTAAGAGGGATTGTGATCCTTCTGAATAATGTATTTTGAGTATAGTGTTTTAACTCAGTTACTGCTTTGAGTACCTACAGTTTGGAGCAGAAAATAGATGTATCAAGTGATACTATTACAAGGGATAAAAAGGGATCTCTCTATTTCCTGCAAATGCTGTCTGCAGTAATTATGAAGGGAATAGTGGCAGATAATGACATAAAGGTCATTTTATAGAAAATAAGCTGCACAGTTTAGTATAGATGTCATACCTTTTGCTTTCCTGAGGCTGTGGGTAAATACTTGACCATAGTATGAATCACAGAGGCTGGAACAGAATGTTTGTACAGATTTTCTTTCTTTACTAACTATATTTGTTAACCCAAAACATGCAGGTTTTCATCTTATGCAGCATCTCTCCTTATCTTCTTGTGTTAATGTAACACAACTTACATGCCATTAAATTTTCAGGTTGGTATAGTCTCATGCTCTTACACTTCCAGTTTTCTCCAACTAAGCTTAAGAAAAAGTAACATGCCTATTCTCTAGTATGAACACAGACAAGGTGAGCAAAACTAAGACTGTTTAGCTGTCTTTGAAAGAGTATTTTGTGAGCATGCAGAACTCTAGTGTGTGTACTTGTTGGATAAAGTATACTGCTGTCACTATAGATTGTAACTAGTAATGCCTCCTGCTTTCACAAAACTTCAAATTTATCTGTTAAAAAAACCCAACACAGCAAAAGAAAAACCCACACAGGAAAGGGCTAGCTCCAACTGGGAGTTCAGATGCTACGTAGTTTAAAATAGCTACAGTACAATTACATAGACATCATCTTTAGCATTTTTGCTAAATGGCGACCAAGGAATCTTAGAGCAATTAAGCAGTGAAAAACAAACTAACTCTCATACCCAGATTATGTCTTCGGCTTTACCAGCAAATGGTGAGAGCTTGTTGATCATTTATTTTATCTCTGCGCTAAAAGTTTAGCACCCTCACTATCTTCCTGCCAAAATCCTGTTTTATTAGGAAATGAATAATATTTTCTTATTGCTTCTGGACTAGTACGGAGTGTAGCCGTCAAAGACGGACCACTAATTAAATTGGTTCTGTTTAGACTGTTGGATGAATCTGAAACTCAGTACAGGTAACAGCCAATCTCTGTCTTCAGCATACTTCTGTTAGTGTGGTATTCTGACTGCTTTTTCGTGTATCTTAGAACACAGTGTGCAGCTTGAGTGTTAGCAAAAAGTAATTTTCTTTTACTCTGCATGCACAGAAAGAGTATTTTTCCTAATCGGGGTAGGTACATTTACTTAAGCAGATTTTAGTCTGTCTTTTCCAAAGTAGCATCATCATTATAGTTAAAAACAAGTTCAGTGTACAGGGCTTACGTTAGGGATGTTTCTGTAGTCACCAAAAGAAAGATTCCCTCTTCCTAAGTTCCATGTTACATACGTGCGTAGCGTCAGCAGGTACATCCTGCACTGCCCTGTCTTAGGGCAAGTTAATAAGGTGATTTGTCATAAACAGCTCCCTGGCAAATGACTGTAGATTCTGTAAATAATTACAGAACTAGGAGCTGGACATTTGGTACTGACAGCTAGAGTAGTGTTAGGAAAGCTTAAGGGTTGAATATTTTAGTTAGACTGTTTTCAGAGCTCCCTTTTTTTTTTTTTTTTTTTTTAATTATTAATTGCTTAAGAGTTTAGGGAAGCCGGAAATGCATGACAACTTTTTATTTTTGTATCAAGTGTAACATTCCAAGTTACAGATAAAACTCAGTTTACTAGTCCCATAGTATACAGAACTGAAAAAATGCATTCTGCCATGCTGTAGGCACTGTGCGTAAGAACCTGGTCAAAACTTCAGTGCAATTCTGACTGAAAGAGCAAAGCAGTGCTATTACTGTTAAATCTGTGTGTATCCCAGTGTCATTAATACATTTATGGTAAAGCAGAATGGCTACCACGCTAGTGTATGAGCAATCCCAGGAATTAGACTTTACATCTAAAACAGCAAGCAAAGGAATCAATGCTAATCACCTTAAGGAGGTGAGGTAACAAACCCAGTTTCAAGGAATATGTTGAGCCAATTGATCACAACAGAAGAAAATTTAAGCTGAAAATACCTGGTTTTATCTAGCAGGGAGAATTGGAAATTGGGCAGTTAGAGGTGGCCCAAGGAATTCTGCTTCCTAGCTTTTGCTCAGTCTTCATCTGTAGCACTGCAGAGGCCTTCAGCCAAGAAGTTTTTCATCAAGCTACTAGCAAGTGTAACTGACCACCATCTACACCTTTCTAGCTGTTAGTTCTGGAACAAGTCCTTGCATCACCACTGTTTGAGGCGGGCATTTCTACTGAAGGTAGGTATCTAGTTTCTTCTTGATGTTGTCAAAGGAATCCACTCCCATATAGTCAGCTTGGCCCTGTTCCCACCGTTCCTTGCGTTCTTCTGAAGATACAGTTGGTAATACTGGTGATGGTGCTGATATCGATATGTGGGACACTGCCTCTGTAACCTCTGCCTAAAAGGAAAAGCAGAGTAAACATATAGAAATACTTTGCATAGCTGAAGTGAGCAACAGGCCATGGGATGGGACAACAAAGTAGATGTTCTCATGCGCAGCAGCAAGCATTGCCAATGGGCAGGGATTGTGCAGCTTTCCTAGCAAAGTAACAAAGCAGAGTTACAGGAGTTAGCAGGGAGAAGAAAAAAAAAAAATAAAGTTTAAGTTCTTCATACCTCTCTACAGAAGCCACAAGAGAAAGCCAGAGTATAGACCAAGCCCGATAGCTGCAAATAGTTTGTTAGAAAGACGTAAGATAAACAAGAGAAAGCACATCTTAAGGGATCAGTAACTTTGGTCTTCGAAAGGTTGAGAACTTAAACTGGCCCATGTACTAAGCTATAAAGTCTGCAGTCAGATGCAAGCTACTAAACTGTGAAGGAAAACTAGGGTTAGAAGCACTACTTAGGCCTTGATAAGTATTGGGATTTGTCACTGCCAGTCTATATAAGTATTCAGTCTGTAGTTATCCTAGATCTGTTTCACCATGCAAGATCTGTATGTACATATTGCATACTGAACTGGGGTTCTTCTTGAGAACCCTACTAGCTGCAACACATTGAGTTATGGCCCTTCTCTATATATTAAAGAAGTGACTACAGTATAAGTGCTGGTGCATCATTAGCTATTTAGATTGTTTTGGGCAAGCAGACAGCTATGTTCAAGACCACTATAGCATGCGTCTCTTCTGTAGTATTATTTATTCCAAGCGTCAAAGAACAAAACCAAAAACCTGCATCCCACAAACTAAACCACACCCGTGCTTTGAGTTGGACAGAGGGAAGGGAAACCAGTGGAATGGTAAAGAACCTGTCATCCAAACTTAGGTAGTTTGTACAAGAATATTAAAGCACGTACCACGTTTACACCTGTAGTAATTTCTTCAACAATTCCATGCTGTTCTAGTAATGGTAAAACATTAGCTATATAGGTATCCCACCACACGTTGAGGAATTCTGGGTGAACTATTTTGGGGTCATCCATGTTGCCTTTTATGCTTTTTGTCCTGGAGTCATATGTATAGTTCCATGGCTTTATGCTTCCCAGGAAATGCACCACTTTGGTATTTGCACCAAACCTGTTGGACAGAAAAAGTTAGAACCCACAGTTTGTGCAGGTGTCTAGAAAACAAGAGTTTTGACTGGCAGACACAATTTTTTTTTTTTTTAACCTGCAGTTTCTGTAGGTGTCCAGAAAACAGAAATATTAATATATTTAGGAGGCTAAACACTAAATGATCAAACTGCCAATGCCTAATGAGACCAAAAGCATCACTATACAACAGAAAAAAAAAATGCAAACAGAATTCTACATTATACTAGTCAGAATACAGCCAAAACCTAAAGGTCTGGGCTATTTAAGTACTTACAGCCAACTCAAGTCTTTAGGTAGAGTGATGTCCATAGCTCAGGAGAGAGCCGTCTCAAGCAGCCGTTGCAATCGGAACTGGTTTTAAAAGTGAAAAAGATTCTACTCCAAAGTCAGTGATCCAGATAGTTAGGCATTACAAGCATTATGTAGAGAAGGGTCAGAGTTAAGAGTTACCCTTTCAGTTTACAGTCCTATAGAAAAGGATCATTGAAAGGCCCTGCCACAGGAAGACCGCATCCTTGCAGAATAACAGCTTTGTCTAACCCAGGCATTTCAGAGGTCTTCTGATGTTGGTGCAGCAGGGTCTTGCTGGATGACCAACCACAATTTTCTAAATAATCTTAGTTTAGCCATGAGTGGGTTTTGTAATGGTAAGGGGTTTTTGTGTTTGTTTGTGTTTGTTTTTTTTTTTTCTAAAACTATTTTAACTCCATTTTCAATATGGACTTATAGCTTTGTCCCAAATGTTACCAGTATGTTCTTTTCCATTAAGAGCATAGATGAGATACACCCCTTTTGAAGAACTTAATGCTAAGAGACAGCATTAATTCTCAAACCATAGAAAAATAGAACGAGAGTTCAGCTTGAGTCAGTTCTGTGAATAAACAATACCAGTCTCTCTAGTAACAGTGACTGTCTCACCTAGTTCAGATTGTGTCTTATTAAGACTTCTTCTCAATATATGATTAAAATGGATAATGCCAAACTAGTTTGTCTAAGGTTTTGTTAAGCACACCCTGGTCATTTTGACCAACAATCAGATGTTTCACTAATGGAGACAATGCAGGTGTGTTTCAAAAAAGAAAACATTCAAAATGAGACTGTGCATTTCGGGTGGGGGTTTTTGTACTATTGTAAGATCCCTGACTGTATTTCAACATCCATGTTCAGTGTTGCGAACACAACTGATCCTGCTGCAGAATGAAAACGTATGCATGTGTGAAAGAAGGTCAAATATTTGCACTAACTGCAAGGGGAAAAAAAAAAAAAAAAAAAAATCTGTCTTCAAGAGGTCAGTTCCTGGGCTTTAACTTTAAACTCCCTATGTCAAGATTTGGCATAAGAGGACTACCTTAGTTTTATTAGCTGCCACAGCACTACTTAAGAGCCTGAGTTTTCTTCATCTTAGACTGCTGCTCTGATAAAACTTATCATTGTTTAAAAATCAGGGCTATTTAAGCTACAGAATACCTGAGAAGAGTTGTGTTTCACTTGCTGCAAATGGAGAAGTGTATTCTTAGTATTCTGTCCACTTAAGACCTGTACAGCAATTGACAGATGCCAGGCTTCTACAGTGTTTTCAGTAACTACTTTCTAGATCTGCAAAACCTTCTTTGGACATTTAAGCGCAACTGTTAGGAAGCTTTGTGTCCACACTGGCCTCAGCAACTAATCTGTCTTTCCCCGTCTCCCAGAAAAGTCCTTCATCGATGTTTTGAAGTTAGAGAGCATTTGTCATGAATTGGCATTTTCCTTTGGAAAAAGGATTACTGAGACTGCTGTGAAATCTAGTCTCGCTGTACAAAGCTGCGAAAAACTTAGCTATTGATGTCAGTAGGTTTAAATTTCACTTTATACCAACTGCTGATTATCAGGAGTGTAGCTCCTGATCTAACCAAGGGAAATTGTTCTACCTGCTGAAGAGGGTATTCTACTTAAAAGGTCTGCACTTCCCAGCATTCTACTTCTGAATGTCTAGTTGAATTCAGTTAAGCAATTGAGTCAATCAGTTAAATGGGATTTTTGTTAGGAGCCCCCAAATCCAATTAGTCTTCTGTGGCAACAAGGTCATTTGTAAATTTAAGGTCCTGTGACTAACAGCCAGCCAGCCATGGAAAGAAGACATACTTTACAATAGATATTAGCTTATCAAATGCTATCCAACTACTTAGTCATTCTTCGGCTTGCATGTATTTCTTTAAATAAGTGTTCCACTTTTAGCATGACAGGATTTCAAATGGTATTCTGATCACAAGACATAGTTTGATCTTGAGCCAACAACAGCCCTGCTTACGCTAGCTGCTGCTTTAGATGCTAGTAACCTGATGTCTTTCAGAGATCAAATTGGTTTTATGCAATTGGTACTTCCCCTGCCCTCCCTCCAACTTTTTCAGCTCTTAATAAAGAAAAGTTTGCGTAACATTTCAGCTTCCCATGCTTCCTCCCATGTTTATTGTAACACTTTTGAGTGACCCTGCCACATGGTTTACTCACATGCCAAATCTAGTACTGCTAGCTAGGGATGATAGGGTTGATATCATGACACAAGAACCATGCAATGGTACGGTGATTGGCTCTAGGTTTTTGTTCCAACTTGCTATTACTTAATGACCTATCTGATCTAGAAAGACCATTGAGAGAGAATTCTAGCTTTACACAAGTCTTTGTTCACCGTGTTTATTTTGAAGGTAGTGGTTGATTAGGTGAACTGTAACTACTGGCTGTGAAATACCCTAAAGAATTTGAGTGAGGAAAGGGCAAGTTATCTAGGTGGGAACAATACCACAAGTGTCATGCTGAAGTTTAGCTCGAGTTGATTCAAGAGCTACTGCCTTTGGTTAGAGCTGTAATAGTATCCCATAGTGGAGGAATGGTTCTTCCTTTTGCAAGTGACCTGTCAAATGTGCTTAGTCTAAATCAGCTACAGTGTTAGCACCAGGAATGAGCGGTTTAAGCTACAGATACAGCTTTCTGCATTTATCATGAGATGGTTCATTTAGCTAGTAATAATTCAATTTTTTTTTGAGAGAAAACTACTACACCTTCTTTTAGTGACAATATTGGTCTCCCTTTAGAAAACTGTGTAAATTCATATTGTATGTGTTTATTCTGTTATAAGAAGTTTGTTTATGTAAGCTCTGAAAGTCGTCCTAGAATTCTGAACTTACTCTTTAAATGCTGGAAGGTAGGAATATACAGAAGTGCTGCTCAAATTATAAATAAATGGTAGATGTTTGCTCATGTCCGTTGTTGCCCAGCTGCTGAAGAAGGTGTTTAATAACCCCTGATCTGCACCTGAAAGAGAAAGCATTAATAAGCTACAAGCATCAGATAGCACTAATAAAGATTTGGTAATGCAGTTATGTCCAGTAGGAGTTTGGCACAGAGCACTAGAGTTCTACTTGTGAACGACCCTGTAAACCTGTGGCCTTTGAAAATCAAAAAAATACAGAGTGAAAAAAAATAATATGCATGGGGTTACTTTCGCAAAGAGACAGCAAGCTACTCACAAACCCTCCCATTCAGTTTCTTTTACAACTTAATTTCAAGCTGTGTAAGGCAGGAAAAAAAAAAAAAAAAAGGACTTGACAATTGAGTACTGCTCAGCTTCAGAAAAGCCGTAGCTCATAAGATCAAGTGTCAACAATTAGTTTTACTTATGCTTACAGATGTATAACCAACATCTCAAAGCCAGAGTTAGGGTATCAGTGGTCTGGTTAGACTTGCAGTCCTGGATGCATCTGCCTATGCTGTGATCTGATAAGGAAAGCACATTCAGTTTGGGTGGCGACTCTAGTAAAACTTCATCAAATCCCTTAACAGGCAGTAGGCACTGCTGACTAACCATCAAGTGAGGGTAAGAATCCAAGTTACAGCCAGACCTATTGCATTGTGAGGGGTCATCTCTTAGTTTGCAAGTAAAGGTTGTAACAGGGTCAAATGAGTCTGAAGTTGTTTGGTATGTCAGTAGTAGAGTAGCTAAAAGAAAAGTCTCTGCCCCAAAGCAGAGTAGTTTGTAAGCAGCTATCGAGAAACAAAAACTACTTATTTATATCCATTCTTAATTGCAGTGAATATACTTAGTCTTTAAGCGCTAATAGTTTCTCTTGCGAAAGATTGAAGGGAGTCCCTCAACTTTCATTTGCTGTCTTCCCTTCACCTGTAACTGCATTCACATGTAGCATTGCTAAAGAGCAGGTAAACATATAGCTTAGAAAAGAGAATGTTTTATTTTAATTTTCTAAAGCACTCAGTCTCTGCTGACTCAGGAAAGGTTTGGGGGTTTTTTTATTAGCCTGTGATTAGATATAGGGCAGTACTAAGGTTTACACCCTCACTACGGTTTGAGCAGAATTTTCTTTTTGCAATTGAAGTATCTAGATACTGGGCATAAACTTAAATGTACAGACAGTACACTGACAAATATAAATTCTAAGTATCCTGTTACAGCTGTCAGCATACACGCAGATTGCAGAGTGAGGAATTGCCTAGAGACTCAGTCCAATAATTTCAAACCTCTGACTTGCCTCTCAATCCATAAAGGCAGGAAAGCACTTCAAGAGTTGTGCCCATCACTAGAGAACAGAGTCAAAGAAACCACACAAGTCCCCTGCTCTTTACTCAGAAGCTAAGATGAAACGTAGCTAACTCAATGCTGTGTTAAGAATGCATGTTAACAGTGGGATCATCTAGAACAGAATAAAGTCTAGGATGCCCTCTCAGAATAGATAGCTTGTCAGTGAAGTGCAGCAACAAAGTATTTAACTTACTCTACAGGACTTTCACTCAGATTGTTTTACATACTCTGCTTTTTTTTTTTCAGGTTGCATGCATTTGTGCCAAAGCAGCCACTGAAAGCAATATTTAGCTGCCCTAGTTCAGACTTCAACAGTAGTCTTGTATAAACAGGACCTTAGACATAAGGTGAAAGAATCAAACAATAGTTACATTAGCTGCATACCTACAGATACAGTCTTGCTGCATTACATATTTATATATAAAAGTAACCACTTTAGATCCCAGGCTAAAGAGCCAAAGGACTGACAACAGCAATGTTCTTAAGGTACCAGTACTACCAGATTTCTTGTAAAACAAAACTTTTTTCCCCATCCACTACTTTTAGATGGTATCTAGAATTATTGCATGACATGTTCATCATTATCTAGACAGGTGAATTTCAAATAGACAAAGCAGTTGTCTACATAAGTAGCCAGCATTCCACCGTTTCTGAACAACCGCATTACAGAGGAGGCATCTGTCCACCATTACTAAATACTCTGGAAAGTCTTGCATTCCCTAGTTACTACTTCTGCAGACGGGGTGCTTAATGCTTGACTTTGATTATGCATACCTTGGTAGCTTGTTGAGTTCGCATCCCCGTGTCTTACTGAAGGCGGTGACCCTTCACAGTTGTTTCTCCCGTAAAAAGTTTTCTAGGAACTTTTATTACTGTCTAGATCAATTTAAGTTTAGATCCCCTTTCACCCCACTGAGTTCATGAACTCAGCAGCAGCTTATGCAGGTAGTGTAAGTCTGCATGGTCTCATTACTCAGAGAAGTGGTACCGTTTAATAAAAACGGAGTAATTTTTTAAATTTTAAAGATGAAGTACAAATTACAGTTCTGGAAACTTGGTACCTCAACCATTAACCCGTTTTTGCTGTTAAGAGCTGCCTGCAATAGTTGCTTCATGATTAGGACATTGAGGAAGTTTCACCACTGTGTGGCTTTAGCTTTTCTGTCAGAAAGTATATTGTAGAATCCTTTTAGAGGACAGGGGCCTTAGACCTAGAAGATGAGTCTGCTAGCAGTCAAGCACAAAGCTCAGAGGAGACACCAAGTCTCAGATGCTCCTGGAGCTACTCGACAGTCAGTTTGCACAAAGATGTGGGTTTGGGGTTTTCTTTGGTTGGTTGGTTTTGGCTGGGGGGGTGGGGAAGTGGTAGAGCACTTCCAAAGCTACCAACTGCTACGTTGTCAGTAGCAAGGTACAGACAGACCCTTCATTACACTGCAGTACTCATTTTCACTAGAGTTTATTCATGTGGTAGCATTAAGCACTAACCTTCTTTAGGAGGCCACACAGTAACAGGGATTATTCTACAGACTAGGAGTGACATCTAGAATTTTTACTTTTTACAAAGTACTGAAAGGTAAATCAATAGGCTGGCTAATTACCTTCTATTAAGAGTTCCATTTTAAGGTCTTAATTATGTAATTTTCTGTAGCTTTTTTAGTTAGACTTTGTTTTGTACCACAGTAGTTACATAATGAAGTTTAGTGATGGGAGACAGTGATATTCAGAAGCCTTTACCTATACCAGTCTTCAGGCAACGTGTGCATTTGCTGCAATGGTAATAGATTTAAGAGACCTACAGGACAGCAGAACTTGGCTTCTCAAGCTTAAATCTGGCACAGTGGTTGATCCCAAGTGACCTATACTGGGAAGCAGCCAAGGCTACACGCACTTGATATTGGGAAAAAGACAGTCACCACCCTATAATGACAGGAAGCTATCACATAGCATACAAAGAGATAGTTGCATCTTCAAATGTTTGTTTCTCTTGAAGCTGCACTCAAATCGATCAGTACTATTTTTTCTACTACAGCAACCCGAGTTGGCATAGAACATTCGAGCCTTGAGTGTTAGGAATGCATGAAGCATAGTACTGCAGTTTCATTTGCTAATGCATGCACTGTGCTTGCTCAATCTTAAGATTTCTTGTTACACGATTCTACATTACTAATGCTTACAGCTGCCAGTTCGGAGGCCAAACTCTTCGGCTGTTGTGTTTTTTTTTCATGAAGTCTGAAAAAAGTACATTTACTAAATATTGTAGTGATAGGCTCTATGGTGACAAGGATATAGTTTTTGTGTAGTAGTTTATGTTGTATAAGCCATCCCAACCACTATTAGCATTTTGGCCTAGCATATTGAAATACAAATTAATACATACCATCAAAGCTGCCTTTCTCTGTTGCAAACTGTAACAGCTGATTGTATGTTTCAATTGAAGGTCGGTAAACAAAAACTCCAGAATTAAAACAGTCAGGCCAGCCCGGATCTGGTGCTGCAGACAGCTCTTCTCTCTCAAAAAGCTCATCAATATTTGACAAAACCTAGTTGTAAGTGGGGTAAAAAAAAATATTGTTTTCTGTTTTTTAGGTTAGGAATAGGGGTATCATGTTTGAATGGATTTTGACATCCACCTTAAGACGTGAAAGAAAGTTCTCCTATCGATGATACTGTCTTACAGAAGACAACACTTTATGGAGATAGTCCCCACAGAGTACATTATAGTTAATTTAGGTAAAAAAGGCACATACAGTTTTAGAGTTACTAGTCCAAACACCAAGAATGCCTCTATCACCCTTCCTTTAAAAAAAAAAGGCAAAAACAAAACAACACACACAACAACAACACACCCTTCCCCCTAAAAAAGTCCAAAACAACAAAACCAAAAACAACCCACAGAAAAATCCAACCGCCCCCATAGCAGGTCATTAAGAGACACCACGAGACATGACCACTAACCATTGTGTCTGCATCCATGAAAACGCATTTTGAAAACTGTGTCAGCTCCCAGCAGTGAAGCTTTGTTAGTGTGACACCTAGTTCAGGTCTCTTCATTAATGCCAAGTGTGCTGAATCCCCACTATCCAAGACGTTTACCAATATGACTTCATCAAAGACTTTTTCCAGCACTCTCCTGGGGAAAGAGTCAATTGCCAAGATGTAGTTCTATTGTTATTCCAGTACCACACCATGTGACAGATTCCATAGAGAGAAGTGGAATAACAGGGAACCTGGCAGTATTTCTTGTGCCAGCTAGAGAGTCTTGACTGCATGTGGTGGAACGCACAAGTACACCCGCCTGCCTCAAGGTTTCTAGTTTGCAATGGGCACGTTTTGGGGAGCAAAGAAGTTTGGGGTTTTCTTCTTCCACAAACAGGGCTTTAGTTGGCATTGCTACCGAGTCCAGTAGGTCACAACTATGTAGTACAGGCTTTCTACACAGCTTTTTCAGCCAGACTGATTTCTAGCCAATTAACAGTCTACTTTGAGCAGGCAATTAAAAAATGGGAAGCTGTTAGAGTCACTTGAGCAGGACAGTAGCTAAATCATAAACAGCTGAAACAGAAGTGTATGCAGTAGTTACAACAACAGTGTTCTGGATTTGTGGCTGTTAGGGACATCCGACTAGACCCAGTTGCTAAAGCTTTCTTTATCCCATAAAGTTTTAAAGACTTAGTTAATCATGGTTATGGGTACAGCAGTGCTTTGTCCCAGTATCGTGTTCACCTAAGGGTGACAAACTTTCAGACAGTGTAGTGAAATTGTGTAGCAGATATCCAACTTTCGCTTTACCATCAGTAAAGCATTACCATTAGTTCAAGAGAAGTTAAGGAATTAATGCTGCTTAAAATATGAAGCATCCATAAAGTTTCGCTATTCTATAGTGTGTCTTGGAACGCTCAGCAATTATCAGTACAATTTGAGCCACAGAGCTTGTAGATGAGTTTTAGAACTGAACCTTGCAAGGACTCTCTTTATACTGACAGTTTGGTATGGACAGTTGCTTCTGAACTTAAGGTATACCTCATTAGTGGATACAGAGTGAGAAAGTTTCAGTTACACCATTAGGTAGGTAGGTATTGCTGGTCTAAGGGCATAGTACTAGCTGGCCTGTGCTAGCACATAAGAACATCTATGACTCATCTTAAAAGAGCACACTCACCTAATAGGCTAAATGGATGTTCCTGTACATAACATCTTTGTATCAGTAAGTCCGTTTAGCTGCCAAGAGACTCTAGGGAGTCACTCCATTTATTACCGAGCCACTTTTCTACTGTGTATAAATTGAAATATCTTTCCAGAAGAACTTCCCCATGTACAGAATCTTGACCTATCATTTGTAGGTCATGCAGGTATTAATTGGTTTTTTACTCTCCTCTTACATGTGAAAAGAGCACCCAGACCACTCCATACTAAGACTGTTCTAGAGAGGCTGTAGGAAGCAGTTGCCTGTTACTTTCATTAGCTGTGCTGCGGTGACCTCAGGAGATGCCTCTGTTGATTGCTGATTTGATATACTTGGTGCTACTTTAGTTCTGTTAATTTTCTTCTCTCATAATGAAGTTTGATTTGAAGTGTCTGCTAGACTTCAAGAGAGCTTACGTTGCATTATCTTAATCGGGAATGCTTCTGCAAGACAAACAGATACCAATCCCCTACTCCCACCTCCACACGCATACACACAGAGCTAATGAACGCACAGGCAATATTGTATTGTCGGATGGTTCTAAGTAGGACTATAAAAGAGCAAAGATCCAGTTGAAATATCAGTATCGAGTCACAGTTTAGTGCTCTAGCTACAGAGTATTTTTTAACTCATCATATGGAAGAAAAACAAAAAACAACCAGTTTCAAGTTTGAGGAACTTGCAGAATTCAAGATAGTATAAGTTGAATTCGGCTAAGCTTAGCTGTTAAGATTGCAGTTTTGGAAGGTTACAATTAAGGAATTTAACTTCCATTTTTCAACCTCAACATCAGCAGGAACTGTGGCAATTTGAAGTATATAAGTGACCTTACCTCATAAGATCTGAGACCTGAGGAGTTATGAGTGCAGTCAGCTTCCTTGTTGTTCTGTACTGTTGCAAGGATGAACCAAGTACCAGTGCTCCTTTCACATAGGAGTCATTTGTGGCTAGAGTCACGAAAGACTGGTCTGGAAGAAATGAACTTGGTCAAGTTAACATGATCCACTACTTTTACTCTGAGACAGATATACTAGAAACCTGGTATTGTTAGATAATCGTGCTATGAGACCTCCAAGATGTGCCCTTTAGCTCTGCATATTTGGCCTACCTACATGGCTGAATGAAGCAGATAACTGCATATATTTGCTATTAGTAACTTGACACATGGCAAAATGCAGTAAAACGCACAAAATCAGGAATGTTACAAGAAAAAAACCTGTTCCAGTTTGCTCCTAGGTTAAGTAAGTCATGCCAAATGTTAGAGACAATCCAAAAGGTCTAAATAGCCTTATTTTGGCCATTAATATACTATTTTTAAGCTAAAAGTATTGGGAGTCAGTGAGCTTGCATTTGGTCCAAAGTTAGTAACGGAGTTTTGTAGAGTTATTCTAGGTTCAGCTCTCAACCCTGGAGCTAGGGCAGTATAAAATTTACATTTTATTTTCAAATGAAAGTAAGCATTGAATTAAGTATTGGACAACAGTATTAAGTTTTGCTAGCTCAGGATTTTGCAGATGAGTAGTTCTGCAACCCATAGTTGCAGCTCTATCACAAGAATGCAAGATTTAAATGGGAAGTAACTAGTAATAGCAAGTTAAGACTTGCAGCAACAGTTTCTGTTCTTCAAGCAAAAAGAGATACAGTTGGATTGTTACTGTAATCTTCTGCTCCAGCTAGATCTCAAAAATAGATTAAGATGGATCGTTTTGCCATATACTGCTAATTGAGGCCATATAATACAAGCTTTGCATTCTTTCAGTCATCATGTTGTGTTAAACTGCCAGGGTGGGACTGACAAAAACAAACAAGTAACTTCTGAACTTCACTGTTAACTATGGTCATGTCATACTCCTTTCCAAGCTACAGTGCTTTATAAAAAAAAAAAAAAAAATGCCCTTTTCTACCAAACCATTTCTGACACCATCAACAAAACAGTTTCTTGCTAAGAATTTCAAGAGTAGATTTCACATTCAGATTTATTTTAGCAACTGTGATTTCTTTTCTTGACAAGAGTTGTTAACTAAGTTAGGTAAGGATTGCGAGTGAGGGTTCTGGACACTACTTAAAGGCTTACTATCAAGTCTAGTAGTAAGATTAAAATACTGACTGCACTACTTTCAGAGAGATTGTTGTTTGGTACAACTTCTCAACCCATGAGACAGTCATCATCAGTATCATTTTAACTTAATACCATCTTAACAGTTGACAACAGAAAGTCATGCACTATAATTGTCTGTAAACTCTGCAAACCTAGTTTGCAAGCTCTACAGACCAGCTACAAAACCTTCTATTTTGCTTAGCAGCGAAACCAACTAGTCCCAAGGGATTTAGATTATAGTGGTCAATTCCAAAGTTCAAAAAAGCTTCTACAATGCCAGGAATAAAGATTTTTTTTTTTCTCCCCCAATTCACTTTAGCTACCAATTTGTAATAGTTCATGTAATTCAGCAAATCTACAGAACGATTCTGCATTTCTTTGAAGCTTTACAAAGGGCAAGTGTGTAGCATTTTAAGTGGTGCCAACATCCTCCTATTTGGGCAGCATTTTTCGTTACTTAATTTCCATGTTACTTCTCAACTACTCAACACACAGAAGTCTGCCACTCTATGCTGACAGACAGCTCACTAAAAATCCAGGTAGACGAAGTGGGCTTGTGTTCATGTTGGTGTTTTTTTTTTTTGTTTTTTTTTTTTGTTTTTTTTTCCCCAGAAGTATAAGACTAATACTGAAAATGGCCTTGCCACTGAAAGACTAGTCTTTTTCAATTTACTGTTAGCAGGTATATTTCTACCATGTCTCCTCACCTTACTGAAACAGAGTATTCACACACAAAGGTCTTAGAGAAATAAAGTCAAATTAATGATGGCATAAAGGCTAAGAAACCCCCTATCACATCTCAACTGCAACAGGAAACTTTATGACTGCTTGACAGAAAGAGGATACTGGCAACTTGTAGAGCATCCAAGTCAGTACAGTTTTCCATCGCTTTGACTAAACTGTGTACTATTTCATACCTTCTCTAAAGTACATTCAGATATGTTATGTGTCGGTCCATACTACAATTTGGGCAAGGCTAGTTGCTGCTTAATATGGAAGTTACATCTGCATGAGACTGGCCCGTTCTACCTAAACCGTAAGTATTTCAGTTGCATGAGGCTGCCTTCCCATCCTCTCCCCCGTCTCCGTAAACGTTTCCTCCACAGATTATGTTCACGCAGCAGTTACTGTTATGCCTGAAGCATAGTGAACTATTAGTAAGAGCAGATGCAGAACCACAGAGAACGAGAGACAATCGCACAGCTACACAACTGATTTATCCAAGGAAAGCCAAACTATTTCAGAGACATCTTTGGCCGCCCAGTTCATAGGCTACTGTATGTGTAGACAAGAGTTCGCACTAGCCCTTAGACACCTAAGAGCATCCTGGAAGTCTGAGCTAGGAACAATCTTCAATTGACAGCGTGCAGGAGTCATCTAGAATGGTGCTTGCCCCAGACGTTTTAAAACTTCCCCCGGAAGCATTTTCATAGGCATAGCTTGAGTTCACAGGACTTTGCCCATTCCCCTATTCGAGTTAGGTACCAGTACATCTGATTTTTTTTTTTTTTTTGAGTATAGGATTTTTAAAGAGACAGAAGCATCTAATCAAGATGTGCATCGGAAGGCAGAGCACCAGACTTCCCACAGCCTTCCAGGTCTGAAAGCAAAACCGACTGCGCTGATAGCTTCAGGTAAGATAAGAATCGGGAAAAAAAATCCAGAAGAAAAAAATCCAGGCGTACTTGGAGAGGTAGTAAGGAGCTGCTCACTGTAAAGTATCAAATGCACCGAAGTTACCTACGGCCTTTAGCGTTTCAGGAGAGCGCTAGGTCTTCTCCTGTGAGCCGCTGCGGCCCTATAGTGGCCTCTCCAGACCCTCCAGCTCTCCGCCACGCTGGCCACATCCCTCCCGTTAGGGGACAGAGACCTGCGCCAGGTAGCGAGGCAGGCGGCGTAAAGCAAGGCTGAATCCTGAACGAACTGTTGAACTGCACGGAGGCGCCCGGCAGGCCTGCAACCCCCCCCGCGGGCAGCCCCAGCCCCCGCCGGCTGCGGCACCGGCTCGCCCCCGGCAGCTCGCCGCTGGCGGGGCCACCACCTAAAAATAGGCGCGGCCGCGGCCCGCCCCGCTCCCGCGCCGCGGCCAGGGCGCGACCGGGCAGCGCGTGCCGGCTCCGCGAGCGCGGCCCGCGCCGCCAGCAGCCCTCGCGAATCGCGGCGCGTGTGTTGGGCGTCCGCGGGGAGGTGTGGCCGCGCTCACTGACCTGCCATGGTGCCAACGCCGCGCAGCAGCCGAAGCAGAGGCGGCAGCCGCGCTCCGAAGGCTGTGCTGAGGCCGCCCCTTATATAGGGGCGGGGCCACGCGCGACACGTCTTTGGCCGGAGGCGGAGGCCCCGCCCTAAGGAATCCCCGCGTCGCCGCGGGGCGGGGTCTCCGCCATGGTCTCCTGCGGCGGTGGCACGTCATCCTTCCTTCCGCCATGGGTGGGCCAGCGCGGGGGGCGGCGGACTCGGTGGTGATGGCTGCTCGGCTAGAGCGCGGAGACGGGATCTGGGACTGCGCTGTGAGGGCCTCTGACCCCCCCCCCCGGTGTCACCTAGGCCAAGCGGAGCTTCAAAGTACTCCACGGTGCGGATGGAGGGTAGGAGCCCTTGTCAGGATGCTGTGGCTCAGGATCCTTGTCGGGATGCCATGGCTGGCAGCGCTGGTGGCATAGGAGACCGTTGCTTCTGTGGTCGACAAGCCCTGCAGGAAGAAGGAGTAAAGCCACGCCTGGCCCAAAGCCACCTGCAGCTGCGGGGAGCACATTTAGAATATATGCACATGCTAGATGCCCCCAGTCCCACAGCCGTGTTAGGGTAGTGTGGTCGCTGGTGAGCCATCCATGACGCTGCCGCAAAATGGCAGCTGAGGAGGGTGTTCCTACGAGGAGCACCTTGGGCTGGATGCAGGCGGCTGCACGCACAGGTGGCATCGCCGTTGGGCTTTGAAATGCAGCCATTGGCGCATGCAGCATTGCCGGCAGTTTGGTGGTGATCACTGCAGGGGACTGTGAGCTGATAGGAGGGTTGAGGCAAGTGCTTTCATTTGAAGGCTTACACCATCATGCCTCTGTTAATATAACATAACTGGTACTTTTGAAAATGCATCTCTGGGGAGTGTGTGTCAGCAGGTGAGATAAGGAGATATGCCCATACTTAGATATTGTCCTTATGGCTCAACTTCAGTCCTTGAAGAAATGTGAGCAGTCCCTTCTCAGGAATACAGGAAGGGTGCTAATTAATTTCTTGTATTCTTTATCACCCTTGCAAGCATTATGAGTGTTAAGACTCTAGTACAGGTTCTTTCTTATGTGATTCCCTACCTACTAGTCCAAACTAAGCAATTAAAGATGATGACAAATCATGAAGGGTATATATACATGATACCCTAACTGAAGAGATGAGTTAGTCCAAAGAATCACAGAATCGCGGAGTGGTTGAGGTTGGAAGGGACCTGTGAAGGTCATCTGGTCCCTCCCCCTCTTTCAAGCAGGGCCACCCAGAGCTGGCTGCCCAGCACCATGTCCAGATAGCTTCTGAATACCTCCAAGGTTGGAGACTCCAGCACCTCCCTGGGCAACCCCTGCTGGTGCTCAGTCGCTCTCCCAGTGACAGAGTGTTTCCTGGTGTTCAGAGGGACCCTCCTGTGTGTCCGTTTGTGCCCATGGCCTCTGGTCCTGTCCCTGGGCACCACCGGAAAGAGCCTGGACCCGTCCCTGCGGGTGTTCATGTACATTGGTGAGATCCCCCCGAGCCTTCTCACCTGCAGCCTGAACAGTCCCAGCTCTCTCAGCCTTTCCTCGTAGAAGAGATGCTTTCTTGTCCCTTCATCATCCTCGTGGCCCTTTGTTGGGCTCTTTCCAGTATGTCCATGTCTCTCTTGTACTGGGTAGTCCAGCACTGGACACAGTCCTGCAGGTATGGCCTCACCAGTGCTGAGCAGAGGGGAAGGATCACGTCCCTCGACCTGCTGGCAATACTTTTGTCTACAGCTCAGGATACCGTTCACCTGCTTTTCAGCAAAGGCACATTGCTGGCTCATGTTCAACTCGGAGTGTGCCAGGACCCCCAGGTCCTTTTCTGCAATCCATTGTCTTCCTCAAGACAATAACTTAAACCTGTTTTTTCACCAGAATAAACCGAGGAAAGTCTGTTAGGAAGGGGATTCCTTTCTAATTTGAAATGTCAAAAGGGTTTTGCCATGAAAGGTTTTAAAAACAAAAGAAACCCTCAAATGCAAACTGGTGATCAAAGGACATTCCACCACCATGTTTCTCCAATATGGGAAAATATGTTTGAGCTGAGACAATTTTTGTAGACCTGTTTTAAAATAAAATTGCTTACTTTTAAAAATACCAAAATCAGGGAAGTGCTCCTTGACCAAAAACAAACAAAAAAACCCTCTTAGAGCAAACCAGTAATTTATAAAATACCACGTGCATTAAAAATGCTTGAATCATAATTATGGGCTGGTAATGTTGTATGTGAGTAGGGATTACTAATATTTTCCGCTATGTGGCCCTTTTTCAGGTATCCATGGCTTTGACAAACTTTCTCTGTGATGGTGTTGGGCATGGTTTGTGTCTGTCTCATGAAAGTTTTGAGCAATTTTTAGCCAGCACATTTCAGCTGCGTCTAGCTTGTTGCTTTGCCAAGTTTTTGAGAGAAAACAATAGAATAGCCACTGTTGGTGATTGCCCTTCCCCGCTCTTCCACACACCCACCCCCCCACCCCCACCCCCGGCTCCTTTGTATTATGTTAGAGTGGAGCAAAAGGGCATCATTCCTTCTTGTTTCAGTGTTAAAAAAACTACGTTAGTTAGTGTTAAGATTGAAAGTGTGACAGAGACATGCTCCCCCCTATGCATACACCTGTTTACACATGCTTGTTTGAGATTTTTCAGATGTTTGTGGTTGAACAGGCTGTAAATTCTATGATTCCCTTGTGTGACTGGATTGCACATACATCCATGCCCCTGTACCGACTGGTTATACTCCTTTCCTCACCGGGGAAAAGTCTCAGGAAGAACATGAGAGACCCCAGATCAAATGGAAGAAAAGATACTGTGACATGAGGATAGAAGGAAAAAAGCTGGAAAAAAAGGAATGCTTGGGACAAGCTCTCATGAGGTGAGGGCTAAGATGGGAAAGCATCTAAGCCTAAAACAAGCCGAGCAAAAAAAAAAAAAAAAAAAAAATCTTTGCCTCAGTTTTGATGGAATAGGATAAATTTAAAACTAGGTGAAGGATAAGTATATGAGGATAGGAACTAGCCAGGGAAACTGTTACTTATCAGCACACCATAGAACTTGATAAAAGTCTGGTGAGGAGGAAGAAGGAATAGATTTTGCTGGATAAAGAGTGAGACAGCATTCAGAAAGAATGGACAAAGTGCTTCATAGCAGCTCATTAGGTGAATGCCAGTGCACTGAAAAAGGTGCAAGTTCTATGAAAAATGAGCCTGTGATCATGCAACTAAAACATTATGTCACAATGTATGTCACAGAAGTCTAATTACCATCGCACATTACACAACTTCCTACTTTTCATGACTGAGTCACAGTGTTATTTTAGTAGAAGTTTGTCTATAACTTAAGTAAAAAGACATTTCGAAACACCAAATACAAAGAAGTAGCTTTGAAATGCAGTTAGGAGTTACATAGCAGTAACAGAAGCTGCTGTCCCATAAGTGGACTGTGATAAGTGTAAACTTCTAAAGCACTTATTTAGCCATTTACACTGAAGCTATATAATATATGTGCACAGTGAGTCCAACCATTAAATTAATAAAACATTGTAGGGAATGCTTCAGAATAAAACATTGTTTCTGCCTCTGCAAAATCTGGAGAAAAAAAAGAAAAATGGTCAACTCCACGCATTTAGTCCATGTTTAAAGTACTGGAATTCAGCTTTTTACAACACTGCAACTGAAGTGGTCATCTCTCTGGTTAGGAAAGAGACTTCCATGATGTGAAGTGCATAGCTGGATATATAAAAACAATATAGCCTGATTCAAGACTGTATTGAGAGGTTTGACTCCGTTTTTGTCCTGCCATCTCTGTCTTGCCCTGTCATAAACTTCCCTGATGACAAAAGCTGTTTTAGGTCATCCGCTCAGCTTTTTGAAGACCTTCTCACCTTGACCTTACTGTGATGCTAGCCTGGACATTTATTATTTGAGAACTTAGAACAGTCTGCATGGAATTTTAAAATTTGGCACAATTATTTCCTAGTGGTAGCATTTCAATATAATGTACCTTACTCTAATCGGACTGAAAAGGCTTTGGTGTTTCTATTTGAATAATCAAAATATTATGCTGTCACTCCAGGTTATTTCAACCTTTCACATTCTTCTTTCCTAATGGGCATTCTCTTTGCCTGTCCCAGAGCCAGTTATAGTTTTGGCTTAATTTCCTTCAAAAAATTCCACCTGTTGTTACATATATGTGATAGTCTTCTGAAAAGATAGGCTCTGTCTTGTAAATCTTGCATTTGCTTGGTGTGTGTTACTTAAGATATGGCAGTGAGCACATTTAGCGGATTAAGGAATTCTCATGATTTCTTCTAGCTAACATGATAAAATAAGCACTCTTATAAGCAGTGAAGCAAGTAGGTCTTGGTTTCTTTTGATTTATATCATCTTTTGGTTTGATTCTCAGTGGCTTATAATGCAGGATACAATAGAAGCTTTTCTCCTGGTTGCATGAACCTGGCATCTATTAAGAAGTAAACTGGTGCTGAGCCTTTTTCCTCATTGGAGAAACAGTTACCTCTCTCATTGGTCCTTACAAAACTGTTAAAAAGTAGTAACGCTGAGACCTCTCTCTGTTTTCTTAAGCTTAATGGAAAGGTTAAAATGTTATTGGAGAATACAGAACCATGTACAAATGATTTCATAAGCCTCTTCTCCTTTGGCAAATAGGCTAAACAAGGCACGTGTATGTGTGTTTTTCTACTAACCTGCCCTCTGCTCCATCTCTGCTCCCCTTTACTAGTGAGTCTTCTGGGATGGGAGGCCACAAGACCTACTGATTAGGACATGTGGCTGGGAGCAGAAAGCAGGGGTTTGTCATCAGTTCCACTCCTCATTTGCCATGATGCTAAGGACAGGAAAGGCAGCTATGTATTCGTTTC